TTTCGCTTTCCACTTTCCCACCGGAGTCCTCCATCTTAAGAGCGCCGGCAACTTAATTGAAATACGAAATGAAACATCTTCGGATAGGAGATAGTAAGCGTAAGCAAAAAAAGTTGTTATGGATAACTCCAATTGGCCATCAAACAAATTGAAAGGCTCTCATAGAGAAAAGTTTGCCGAAGATGATCAATGGCCAATAAATGATTAAGGACCTGAAAACAGGCAGAAAGAATATATTATATGTCGACTGGTCTCTGATTTCTGTTGGCCAATCAATACTTGTAGATATTTTCGAGATGTCGAAAAGGAAACAAGTTTGGCACAAAAGTTGGAAAAACTTTGTATCACTTTTACTGCTGCATATACAATTTTTCTCTATTATTTCGAAAGTATATTTAATTGTGTGCTTCACGTAATATTAAAGAGAAAAATAGACACATAGTTTGGCATTTTATTTCAGTTGACATGCAAGTTGCAACAGTTAAATGCACTGTGACAGGCGTCAGGCTGGCCTGCTGGTTGTACCCTTTAGTTTATACAATTTTAGGCAATTATTTACTTTGGTTGCCGCACTCAAACACACAGCCACCAACATGGCTGCAAAAACAAACACAAATACAGCTGACATGGGCCCCCAAGCCGAGCCCCGAAAGCTTATCTTGACAGCCATTAAATGGCCGCAAAGCGCTGGAATATGTGATTTATGCATGTGAATATATCGGTGTGTCTAAACGTATCTGTGTATATGCCACCATGAGAGAGTGTGTGTGTGGGTAATGCGTGCGTGTGCATTTTTAAAAGGCTCCCCAAAACATCGACAGATACAGAAAGAGTACGGAGCGTGACTGGCAAAAGTACTATGGCACTAGCACTGCGGTCTTCTAATCGCGCTTATCTCGCGACTCCTGCCATGCCAGCTCCTCCTACTCTTTGCTGGTGTCTATAAATTTTATCGCCTTCGGGGTGCTGTTTTTATTTTATTGACCCATTCGGTGTAAGGTGTAAGCGGCGGGCTCATGTAACGGCCAATTTGCTGGCTGGCAATAAATCCAGCAAATTATTGTCCAATTTTCATGCAAGTTAATTTCCAGTTAAAGTTCAGATTTTACCCGAACACGCTATAAATAGGACAGACGGGAAAAGTCGGGGCAGCTCAGCTGTCTTGATAGATGATTCCCATTCCCATTACTCCATCTATCCAACATGCTCCTATGTCCAAATTCCCATTCAGGCTAATAATAGAACTCGACTATCCTGCCACTGACAGGAATGCTACAGGGGCTCCTCCTGCCTGGCCTCCCCCTCAACCGTCTTCGGTGTTGGCTTTCATTAATATTTTGCTGGGTCTCGCAAACAATGTATTGACATTTCAATTAATTATGAGAGCCATGCGAAGAGGAAAGGTGAATGAGGCAGAGTCCTGGACGCAAGCTGTGACCTTTTGGGCCTGTCAGTTGAGTGATATGAGCTTCAGTCTTGACGTTTGCGAGATGGGTGCGAAAAGTTGCTAAATTTGAGACTCAAATAAAAGTATTTTTCTCTTTTTTCTCTCTTAGGGGAAATATTTCATAAGTAAAGAGTCCTCAGGCCACCTGCAAATATTAATTGTTATACCAAACCTAAGCAATTATTTTCTTTCATTTTCAAACGGCAAGGCTAAAGGTAGCTCGTTCAATCTCCCCTTGCATGCAACGCACTTTGACCTTTTGCTCGTATATCCGCCTCCTGCTTGTTTGGCCTTTCATTTCGGTGGCCCAAAAGTGTCATCAGCTGTTGTTTTGCTTTGGCTATGGCTTTGCCTTTGAACTGGGCCCACATGGGCTGGGCGACGGGCCGGCAGGCACCCACATTCGCAGCGGATTCAATGTTTATCAAACTGTTAAAGTTAAGTCGCCCGACTGAGGTGAGCTTTATGCAAATCCTAGAGCTGCAAAATGTCAGACACACACACACACACACACACACACAAAAAAACACTCATATGAAGATGTTGAAGGGACTGGGGAAAAGTCCTAAACGGCAAAATGCTACTAAGCCCACTTACTTACAATTTAGCAGGAAAATAAAGCGAACGAGAGCCAGGAAGAGAGAAACAAAATCATATTGCGAAAACGAGAGTGTAAAATTTTTTTGCATACATAAAACGAGGAGTAAAGCGTAAGGGCAGCAAATAAAACAACAACAAGAGCAACAAGAACAACATCAGCAACAAAATAAATCCAGCTTTATGGCACGCACCCACACCCATACCCACATCAACACACTCACTGACTCACACACAGCAACAAACACTTGACTTTATTCAGCAAGTGCCTTAATAGTGTGCGTGTGTGGGCTCTATACGAATATGTGTGTTTCATATACTTGGGTGTGTGTGAGTGTGTGTACTACTTTCTGGTGCGGGCGGCACAAAATCCAATCAACATAACGAGCTACAAGCGCCGCTGAGCGGCATAAAACGCAAAAAATATATATGACTGTATGAGGATGTGATTGTATGCGAGAGATTTCTCTTTTGGCCACAACACTGCGAGAAATTATGCCTAAGCGGGGATCAAGGAAGCTATAAGTCAAGTGCCGCAACTAAGCCCAACAAAATCCATAAAAATCCCGCTCGCAAGAATGGCTTTAAAAATTTAGATTTACGATTCTAGCAACATACCCAGGAAGATAAGCATAGATACCAATGAAGTTTAAAATAGAATATTACATTCATGAATAAAAGGTATTTTAAAGTCAAAATATATGCCATGAAATCTATTAGATTATTCTTTTCAATTCTCTTTAAGAAAGTGAAGTCCAAAGTAACTTCATACATGTTTTCGCTTTTAAAACTAATAAGTCTTTCTTATTAAGTTAACCCAGGTACGTAGGAATTCTTTCCTATCCTTGCCATTCTTCAAGGTGTAGAAACTGTTTGTTTTTTTTTCCACCCAGTTGCCACGTTCATTCAACTTGCGACTTGGCAACAACAAGCGGCTAGAATGGCTCAAAGACGTACATAGCTGAGGTAGACAAGCGCCCAGAGTTGTTGTTGCTTTTATTGTTGGCGGGGAACAGTGAAAACATTGCCAAGCTCAAAAGTGTGTCGACTTGACACAAACACAAATACAGAAACAAATACGAATACAAGCACACATACATACGCAGTACACTCACGCACAGACAAATGAAATAAAAGTAAACCCATTTACACCATAGACACAGTCAGCAGGAGGTATGGATACAAAGGAGAGGCTGTAGAAGGATTTGGGGGGCTAGAGGCCGGGAGGCCTTTTGGGGCGAGACCGGAGAGACAGGGGAGATTGGCGCCAACTGCTTGGCAAGCTGCAAATGTGGGACATTTGGCAGTCGCAGTCGCATTGTTAACTTTCTTTGACAGCTGGCCAAAAAATGTAGTAAAATGGGGAGAAAAAAAATGCGAGAATGCACGAGGAAGCCCCAGGACCACCCGGGTCCATGTCCTCAACTTAGCAGCAATGTTGCTGTATTGTATTTTTTTTCCGCCATTTTTGTTGCAGCCACCATGTGTGTGAGCCAGTATTTATGGCACAAAATTGCGGGCACAGCAGCAGCAAATTAACACAGCAGCCCGAATGCAAATTTCTGCAACCAGCCTGCCAGGCTGCTAGGCTGCTAGGCTGCCAGCCTGTTGCCATACCAAAAACCCCAAATTCGATGTGCCCATTTCCATTTCCATCGCCATTTCCATTTTCATCCCCAAACCCATTCCCATTTCGACAAATTGATTATTTGCATGGGGATCCTGCAGTATGCCCACAAAGCAACAACTGTGAAGGCTCGACTCGGTCATGGCCATGCCAATGTTCCAGTGAGGCTGTGAGTGCGACTATGAGTGCGGCAATCCTTGGCCTGTGGGGGGCGTCAGAAATGGGCGTGGCATGCCATCACCGCACGCACTTATCGCCCATGCACAGCACGTCGGCCACCGGAGTGGAGAAAAATGCTTATAAAGGATTAATTCGATTCCAATATTCGCACACGCATTTTGCATTCGGCATTCTGAGCTCGGTACTTTGCATCCTTTGGCCGTCTGTCCTACCGTCCGACTGCAAATTCGGATGCTGGTCAGCAGATATATCAGGGATATTGCCGGTCATTGTTGGCATTGTTTTAAATGCTCCAACCATAATGATTGTTGCAAAATGAAAGCGAGAAGCAGGTCAATCGAATGGGGCCTTTTTTAAGGGTATATGGTCAGGCAAATAGGCATATGTCAGCTGTTGATAAAAGATATTAATAATAATAGACCTAATAGATGGTATTCATCTTAAAGCATACTTGGATAATTTTCAATTATCACACAATTTCCTTTAGCGAGAGAGAAAATAATTTGAGTTAATCTTTTCCAAAAATTTGTTTAGAATTTCATTACAAAGGATGAAATCCTTCGATGTTAATAAACTAAACACCTGAAAGCAAAAACTGAATTCATTTGAAAGGGCATTTATCATTCAGATGGAGGGATAACAAACATTCCATTGAATAGTCTTTTGTAGTCCAATGAATGCGTTGAGCTGCGATTGCAATTTGCATTTTTCATGAATGCCCTGGCAACTTAATGGATTCCCTGGGCAACAGATTAAAGCCGCATTACGGTGTCAAGACCTTTTAAATTTTCAATTTCCGCCTGAAGTGTGGCCCGAGAGCATAAAGTAAATTTAATTGAAATTATTGCCACATTTGCCAGCCGAACACAAACCGACAATGGCGTAAATTGAGTAGCAACCATACAACAACAAACACCACACTAGAATTAGATGTATTTGATGCATCGAAACAGATTGGCCAAATGGCATGTTAATTGGCCTAATTTGATTTCCCATTTAGGGGCTGCGCATGACCAGGTGGAGTGGGCCAGAATCACAGCAACTCTAGGCGTAGTGCCGAGATTATTTAATAAGCACTTTCGTATTAGGCATTAAATTGTGTGTGGTTGTCCAGTCAGATGGTATATCTTAACTGCCTTTAAATTTCAGCTTGCACCACAGGAGGCTGCCACGCCCATCAGACAAGGACGCTTCGCACACCACCCTAAAAATGGGCAGCGGACACTTTTTCTGGGCGATTTTCTACTTTGCCAGCCTGTGCAGTGCTTCACTGTAAGTACCTGACTCTCCTTTTATATGCATTCTGAGAAATACCACACCACTCGCATACAGTAGCTGCAAAAAGTTAACCGTTTCATAATTTGTCGCCCGCTCCACTTACCATTTATTTTTCACTCGTTTATATTTTTTTGTGTTTAATTCTTCGCGCGCCTCTTGTTTCGCGTGTTCACACTGCACTTGGGCAGGAAGTGGCATTCAAAATGCGATTTACATACAATTGTCGTTAATTTTGCCATGCCACGCCCTGTTATAAAGGACAAAGTCTATACATAAAAGCATATATATGCATTGAAAAAAAATAAATTAAAATTATAACAAAAAAAATAACTTATTTGCTTAATTATATGGCTACTGAATTTCAAGATATTTTTTCTAACAGAAAATAAAATCTGTATTATATATAATTCTTTAATTTAAAAACTTTTCAGTGTACATATATGCATGATACATACAATCGGTTTATCCGCTTCAGCATTAAGTTAGTAGAGTAGTTATGAGCCGTAGTTGCCTTTTCAGTTGTTGCTGATTTTAAAAGCGACACGCCCAATATTTTTAGCCGCCTTCATCCACTTGAATTTGCATAGCCAGTCTCTCTCTCACAAACACACTTGCAACCACTCAACAAGGACACCTCATTAAAATGTAATTAATTTTCGTGTAATTTTTTTTCGGAGCATAAATTTTGGAATTATTTACGCTCAAGTCGAGGTCGGAGTCAGCTTCTACATATATGACTTTGCCTTGGCTTTGATAAGTGCGACAGTGTATAATAACAACGATAAAGATAACCGATTACGAGAACACCAACCCGCACTACCGACCAATTTGTATATAACATATATGTTTCAATAAAAATCAACAAAGAAAAAACAATTGCTGTAAATTTATATGCAACACTTTTGGTTTATGCGATTTTTCGAGCGAAAATACTAACAATTTGTCAGCTAATGTTTTTTTCCAAAAACTACTTCAATAACAATTAAAATAAACATCTTTTCTAAAATTTGTCCAAATACACCGAAGCAAACATTGATAAAATTATACATGCGTACCTATCCATATCCTGATTTCAGAGCAAATAATGCCAAAATAAATTTCCGAGAAAAGGAGAAAAAAGTCTTAGATCAAATTTTAGGTGCAGGCAAATATGATGCCCGAATTCGACCATCTGGAATTAATGGAACAGGTGAGAACCAGACCAAATTTCTTCTAATTAGTCTATAACCGAATTTTTATTAACCTCAACTAAGTTATGTTGTCAACACACCTTTAATCATTTTTGGTTGTTTGTTTTAATTGCTGATTAAATGATTTCAAATCCGATTGGTAATAAAAAGATCGTTACTATATAATTATACAGATGTATGAGAAAATTATTCAAAGTTTAGCTAATGTAAGCCTCTGCTTAAGTTAAATTCCAATTATACAAGATCGTTTAGATTAGTTTGCAGCTGAGTATAGTTAGATCAGATCCATAAGTTAACACGTTTACTTTATCGTCGAAAAACTCACGTCTAAACCAAACTTTATGCCAGATGGTCCCGCCATAGTCAGAATCAATCTATTCGTACGCAGTATTATGACGATTAGTGATATTAAAATGGTAAGTCGCCCCGAAAAGCAGCCAGCCAATTCGATAAACGAAATTTGAGTTCGAAATCGATAGAATGACCCCTAACCCTAGACCCCAGCTCTGATTCTTGTGCTCTCTATCTCTCTTACACACTCTCTCTCTTGCTATTTCACACTGCCTTCTTCTCGTCATGAAATTAGAAAACACGAAAGTTGTCTTTTATAGCGTGCTGCTCTTGCAACTTGAACACACATACACACTCGAAACTTATAGCTAACACACTCGCACACCTACACACTCACACATTTGTTTTTTGCGTTTTGTGTTGACTCGTTCTCTATTTCTCTGAAACCATTCTATATATACATTCATATATATATATATATTTGCGTATATACATCTGATGCTAAGTATTTGCGTTTGATTTTGGCCACATTTACGCCAGATTGTTCCAGTACCTGTCCTTCCTGTTTGTATTTTTCTGTTCTGTGGTTCTAGAAACGGCGTTCTTTGTACTTTCATTTAAGATTAACAGCCAAAAAACAAAATAAAGTTTTCACCTGCATTCATGAATTTCCTCGAAAAAACCAAATATGTTGCCTACTTATCGGGGCATAATTTTGATTGGCCACCTCCGAAAAAAGGAAGCGAAAAAATATTGGTCCCTTACATACACATTCAACAACGAGTACTATCCTTTGATGGGCAGACAAAATTATTAAATTTTCTTTAACCTTATTGCTGTAAACGAAGAAATGTTCAAATATTACGTATACGTACATGTGTTCGCCATTTAAAATCGATTCATTCAATACCTGACAACCGATTGCCCACATCACCCGTGTTGCAAGTGTTTACTTTTTTTTCCATTTGACTTTTTCATTTTAATTAAAAATAAAGTTTTGATTTCATTCACAGTTAATTTTGTTGTTGTCTTGGTGACTTTTACCGTAGTAATGACATCATTAATAATGTAAAGGCAACATAAATATTTGAGAGTAGTGTCACAGAGTCACATATTCACATATATAGCCACATGAATCACCGACTGGTAATGGTCAATAAATATGACATATAAATATATTATAAATATAGTCCAATACAGCCAATATATTTACCAGCTAAATAAATATTAACTATAAAGGCATATAAATTAGCACAGCCGATGCCGCCCCCTGGCATTTCGAAGCAAAAGACACAGAATCTCTTGTACTTTTTCACTCTCCCACACGCACATACATACCATACATATACATACGTATACCCCACCCCAGCATACCTAGATTATACCCGATCCCCCGAAATAAGCCACCCCTCGAAGGTCACAAAAACAACTCATAGACAAAACAACGCAACTTTAGTTACGTACATAAATTCTAGCTTAACTTAGGTATATAAAAAACGCAAACAAAACGAAACAAAAATCGGAAGAAAACATTCTTTGACTTAGCTTAGCTTTGTAAGCAAAACTGGAAGCGAACTTGCTTAGTAACTTTTGTATCCTAGTAAGTAAGCACAAAAAAAGGAGAACAACAACCGGGAGGAGAAGCTATAAAATAAAACTTTATTACAGAGCGGCAGCATAAAGGCATAAGGACTGCTGCCAAATATGGGTGCGAAGGATATGGGATGGTCATTTTAAGTTTGTTTTTAGGGGTTGGACCTTGCGGCAGCTGTTAAAAATTTGTTGTATATTAACATTGAAAGTATTGTGCAAATCGGTGAATATGTCTATCTATCATGTATCGCCCTCCAGATGGTCCAGCTGTGGTGCGCGTCAACATATTCGTTAGGAGTATATCGAAAATCGATGATGTAACCATGGTAAGTTCGCGCCTCCTCCACTTGCAAACTCCAAAATCCAAAACTAAGAACAGAAAAAACCCCCAGCTAGAAAATCAAACACCACTCCCTTGACCGCAAGTGGATGCTCTTGTCGTTCGTATCCCTCTCTAGAGGATTTCCCAGGGCACTCCCCTGGTTCGCTAAGTCCCTTTCCCTCCACTCCAAACTTTTGGTCCCCCGACCCTTTCTGTGCCAGGCGTTGTTCTGCTCTCTTCACTCCAGTTACTGCTCCAGTTAGGCGTCGGAAAAGCAATCAAAACACTGCAAATGAAACAAAAATATATATGTATAAACATGAAAAATATTACTTATTCGCCATACGTACTATACTATATATCTGATATTGGAATTTATAATACATACTTCTTTGTTTCGTTGACTATCGATGTGATATAATTTTCGTATTTAATTTTGGTATATGATTTGAGTAAGGTTCGTCTTTAAGTTATTAGAACGAAAAGCAAAATTGTCTAATTAGTTTGCCCATGAGTTAATTGCATTTAAAATTAGAGTCTTTCTTTGTCAGTTTGCATTGGTAATTCAAATTCTCTCACTTGCATTCTCCTTATTTCTCATTTCAAAAATTATGTAAAATAAAACAAATATCTTACTGTTTTGTAGCAAAAGCAACAAGAATACAAAACATGATGAAAAAATGTCTTTTTGGATCTCTTTTCTACACAGTCTCTCTCTATCTCTCTATCTGTCTCTATATTTCACTATCTATCGCTCTCTATCTTTTTATTTTAAAAAATTTAATAGCCCAAACTAGATTATTTTTTTCATACTTCTCTCTCAAGCTTTCTGTACAAATTTTAAATTTTTAATAATATTAATTAATTAATCACTAATCTGATATCGAATTATTTATAACTGTGATGACTGGTGAAAACCATCTATTTAGCCTCGGATTAATAATAATTACGTACCTATTTATTTTCAATTATTCCATTTGCTTACTATACAAAAAAAAAAAACAAAAAAAATTATCTGCCAAATAAAAAAATTAATTTAAATTATGCTATTCTATGTACTTAGTGAAACTATAAATTCAAATGTGAAATGTTCATTTTAATCGTGTGCTTTGTATGTGGTGTCCCCGTCCCCAAAATATAATTTGCCCCTAACTCTTCTATGAAAACTAAGGGAAATCACTTATATAACATGACAATCCAATTAAAAATCGTTTGGCTTGCACTTACAAAAAAAAAATATAACTAATCTAACTCAATCGGCAGGATACACAAATTTTCATTCAAAGGCAAAATTTGATAAATCGGTTCTATTCAAATTAAAAAAAGGAAATCTGAATTAAAATATGCGGAATGTATTTTTCAAAAAGTACTTTTGGTGAAACACAATCAAATAATCGAGAATATAAAAATTCAATTAGCTAAAAGCCGAATACATTTTTTACGGCTTAATTGACGCGAACATCAATTGAAAAACACACAACAAATCAAAGACATATTTTATTTTTCAATGAGATCCATGCAGACATTTTTCCCAACACATTCAATTGATTTTTACCATTTACCATTTCATTTGTGTTATGGTTTTATTATTTCGCTTTATTTTTCACATTCACACATAAAATTCATCAAAAAAAGTATTATAAAACTTGAAAGATAGTTGTAAGCTCTAAAAGTTATGCTATTTTAGTTAGTCAGTAAGTGAACAAAATAAGTTAAGGCCGTATCCATCACAGAGGGGGAGTCGAGGAGAACAATTGCTAAGAAAAGAAAAGATTTTTATATGATGATTGATTTTAGCTAATTTGGCGACAATTGTGAAAGTCAACATGTACCTGCGCTCCATTTCGAAAATAGACGACTACAAAATGGTGAGTCCCGGCTCAAGTACTGCAACAGCAAGAACAAAACCACCACAACTACTTTCACTACAAAAATTAAATAAAAACCAATGCGCTTTCTCTCACTTTGCTGTATATGTGCGTGCGTGTGTGTGTCTACAAAACGTTAACCATGTCCAGTATCCAGTACTTTGGGCCTATTAAATAATTGCATTAATTATAAATGTCCCTAACCATAAGTGTGTATGTGTGGGGGTTGTAGGTGGTTGTATAATACATAACCCTAAACGAGTCTGTCGCAACGGCTCTTCCGGTCTGTGTCAGTGGAAATTGTATATTGTTTTTTTATCTGCAACCTGTACAATGTAAGCAAGCAAAACGATGTAAAAAATATAAATGTATCTAACTGTAATATATATATATTAAAAATAAAAAATATTATTCACCATTAAATCCTTGTGTACATGATCAAATTCAACCTGTTATTCATTTTCTTCACTTTTGTTGTTTTAAACTTTAAGCCAACTCTAAGCTTACTGCTTTGTCTCCACTGCCAGCCGAAGTTAACTGCCGGTGCCGGTGAGAGTGATTGAAACCACGAGTTTATGAACTAAGTTTTAGCTTTAACGTAGGCTAGGCTTAAGGCTTAAGTCAAGAACCACCGCAAAACGACACCAACGACATTAACACCCATTACAGACACAGCCCACAATACACCGCTCACGCCCAGCTCATTCAGTTAAGTTCCGTTCCATTCGGTTACATTCGATTCGGTTCTTTCCCTTTACCTCATCATTTCCAGCCACCTTGTTTCTAAAACAGTTGGAGGACTAATGAAATCAATAGCACAATAGCTTGCCACCTATTAGGCACTATGACAGGTCTAATTTTAAGTACAAACTAAGAGATAACGTACATCATGCTAACGAGAACAGAAAAACTGTAGAGGAAAACCGCCATTCACAGCCTCCATTTGTCCAGATTGGTTTCCGCTGTCAGGAAAACAACGATAAAAAGCGGATAGCACCGACAGCAAAAAGCTGGTACAAAAAAAATTAAAAACATTTAATTTACGTCACTTTGCGATGCATACAAATGGAAAGAGTAATAAACGAAAACCAATTATTTGTAATAATTATTCAAATTTATTTATTTTCACAAGGCCTCATGTGAGGGCGTGTGTTTTTTACAACAAGTTCTATTATGAACTTTAAAAAGAAAATATTGAAAAAGAAGTCGCAGCTTATTTAAATAATAGGATTTCGATGCGATTTTAGTTGGATTTAGTTGAAATTATTATTCAGCCCCAGATTCTTTTTTCAAAAAGTCCCATCTCCCGTGGAATGGCATGCCATTTTATTGTATTCCGTGTTAGCATGATTTTTTTAAAACTCTCTATGTAATTTCTTTTCTGTTTTTTTGTCATTAAACTAAACTTTTAGCTTTTGCCTGTAAAATATTAATATTTACATGACTTTGTTCCGCTTTATGACTTACTTTTAGGGTATTATTTATGTAATATAAATATTATTTCTTTAAGATATTATTATGTGAAATATAATTTTAAGAAAAGAAAAAAAAACTTTTCCGAAAATATGCGTAAGATGCCTGGCTTTTTCCACTCTGCTCGTTCTGCTTTTGTCTTAAAATTTGTTTGCCTGCTTTTAGCTTGCTTGCCTGTTTTTAAAGATTCATGTGTGTACAACACGTCGCATGTGGCATTTTGTTGCATTTTGGGCAAATATTAAATATTAAATAGACATGACAAAATATACCATCAGCCGGACCAGTGCCGGAAACATTTTACCAAACTAGCAGAAACCCAAAGCCAAACGACAGTTAACCATTATACTATATATATATTTAAAAATATATACAATTATCAATATATACCCACTCTGCTAAACATGCCAAATACCAACTACTTCGCCACGCCTTGCTCGCAATTTCATACTCAAACAAAATCAATCTTTGCAAAAGTAAAGCTAAAGACCCTAAAAAAACGAAAAAAAAACCAAAAATCAAATTGAATTAAATAAATCGAACTGCAAGCCACCCCAAATTGAAAAGACCTCTCTCTATTCACACAATCTTTAAAAGAAACCAAAAGAAACAAGAACAAGAACCCTCTGAAAGAAAATCTCTTTTCAATTCGCCAAACCTAAATTTGCATTGTAGTTGAGATTGAATCCCCCAAATAATACCATTTAACTTCGTCTACTAATGAGAGTTTACATTTGCCCACCACTCGCACCACCCGCACCACCCAAAAATCATCTACTTTCGCCACCTCAGGAGTACAGTGTGCAGCTAACCTTCCGTGAACAGTGGACGGATGAGCGACTGAAATTCGATGATATACAAGGCGAGTTTAACCAAAAATATATACTTTGTGATATTCTAAGAGTTGTTATGATACTTTCTTTAGGCCGCCTGAAATACTTGACTTTAACGGAGGCGAACCGTGTGTGGATGCCCGATCTTTTCTTCTCGAACGAGAAGGAGGGACACTTTCACAACATCATCATGCCCAATGTTTATATACGCATCTTTCCCAACGGCTCAGTGCTATATAGTATACGAATTTCACTGACATTGGCCTGTCCAATGAACTTGAAACTATATCCGTTGGATAGACAGATCTGTTCACTACGTATGGCGAGTTGTAAGTACTATTTAAACGAAGGTCTATTATTACAAATAATGTAATCCTTGAACCATATATTCGTCGGAGTAAACATTGATGTTGTGCCGATTAAATGTTTTGTTTCAAAATGATTAATTGTATATTTATTGAAACTCCCTAGACGGCTGGACCACCAACGACTTGGTCTTCCTGTGGAAGGAGGGCGATCCTGTGCAGGTGGTTAAGAACTTACACCTACCTCGCTTCACTCTGGAGAAGTTTCTGACTGATTACTGCAACAGTAAAACCAACACGGGTAAGTACTCTCCGTTCCGTATGTGTGTTCGAGCCGTGTTTCTTTGTCTCTGAGTTTTTGAACTCGGTTATTTTAATATGTTTTCCTAACCTTTAGTAACATACTCTGGCTTGATTCGTTTACTCGCTGGTTGCGTATTTCGTTTGCATTTATAAATAAGCGTTCCTCAGAGATTGCATGCCAAGTGGTTTAACTTTAGCTTGTACAATATCGTAAATGTTGGGTCCCAACTGGAAAATATTATAAACGGTGCCATAACCACTTCATAGCACACACACATACACATTCTTATAAGCTAGCACACATATTATACTATACACTCTCAATTACCCACACCCTTACCCATATGCAATATACATACATATAAGCTTATATATATAAATATATAGCGAATTTCATAAGATGCCGTTTACACATGCGCCATTTCAATGAGCATATCGTTTTGGGCCGTTATCAATGCCCGAAACGCATAGAACCAACATTTTACGATGTAATTCACACACACGCTTGCCGCCACTTACATACACATACAAAATCGCACCCATACACCTACACCCACAGGCAAATACAGGGACATCGTTTTACGTTTACCTTGCCGTTTTTTATGAGCACTTTGAAATCTGCGCGCGCTTTAAGTAAATGTTTACCTTGGCGAACAACTATTCAGCTGGGCGGGCGATAAAGGAGCTTGGGGGTTCCTCCCATCAAATGCGAAACGGAAAATGAAGGCAAAAATGGCAAAAGCCGTGCGGAAAGTAAATTAATCGAGGAAATTGTCTGCGACGTTGTTTAAACTTGCACAAAGACGATGGTGCACTGAAGATGCTGGCGAAGATTGCAGATACGGATGTGGCAGTGAATGCAAAGTGGAAGCAAACAGGAGGGCAGGAATTTTTTTTCTGAGAGAGTTGGCAAACTGTGTGTCAGCATATTAGGATAGTTTGCGGCAGCCAGAGCAAACAGAGGAGCCATTGTTTGTGATTATTTAGCCAAGTATTCAGTATTTATCCAGTGAAGAGCTCACCTAGGCTAGAACGTCCACATACATAGAGTTTGTTTGTTGTTTATTCTTTGCCAATTATCGAATGGAAATGAAAGGTTTAATTAGTGCCATCACTTCCCCCCTCCATTAATCATCAACAAATAACTTAGCATGAGCCTGAAACTCCTTTCTACCAAACTAAATAACCAAAAACCAAATCAAGTCACTTTTTAGCTCAAATATACATATATTTAATACATGTCTACCAAATACGACTTTTTCCACTTAGACGTTGCGTAGTTGTTGCATTTTAGTTGTCTCGCCTTGAACCTAGTTGCTCACATAAAGTTTATTAATTTTATATCTTCTATGAGCGTTGAACGGAATGTAAGAGCGATGCGAATGAACTCTAGAAACGAACTCAAAATCACATACAATTTGAACTGGCCGGCCGGCAATCAAAGCTGGCCAGAGACTCATCGTTTGATTGATGACGGCCAACAAACAGAGAGATGGCCCAAAGCCAGAGCCAAAACCGAGCCAAAGGCACAGTGGCCGCGCCATTGCGATTGCCACAGTGCGAAATGTTCCAGATGCGATGCGAAATATCCAGATTCAGACCAAAGACCCAGACCCAGACCCAAACCCATACCAAAAGTACCCAGTCGAGACCAAAGAGCCGAGCAAATAAACCACACACGCAGCCGTCAAATACAAACAGGGGGGATGTGATGAAAGCCCCCACATGCAGATACATACTGAAAGAAAATTTAATGAACTCCATGCCGAGCAAAAAAACTCAACAACAAAACCAAAACACCCAAAAAACAAAATAGCCGAAAAAAAAATATGAGAATGTAAAATAATAAACAACTTTGTCTTGAAGAGTATGGAACGCTTTGCCAACAAATTAACGGAAATGAAGCACAAGAAAGGGGCGTGGGCAAATCAGAGGGGGCGGGGCAAGGAGCGTGCGGCTCGGTAGGGGGCGTGGCAGCTCCTATCGAGCGGAAGCCAACGGAATGAGAATAAAATCAGTACAACAACAAGCCAGAAAACAGAACACAAGAGCCGTCGTCGAACTTCATTTCCGTTAAGATTTTTGTTGCAAAAGTCAGAAAATTGAATTCATGTTGATACTTTTTGCCTATGATGCAATTTTTCATTTCATTTTATAATTTTGAACTCAATCTCTCTCTGTCTGTCTATGTGTCGCCAGCCACCCACCTAATTTTTCTGTCCTTGTTTTTCCTGTAAATATATTGAAACTTTTACATCCTCCGCCTAATACCCGCACTCCTGTCATTACCCAAATTTTATTTCCTTTGTTTTCAAAAAAAAAAAATGCCTACTTTTTGTATATACCAACAACAAGAAAAATTGTCTGTAAATGTGTTTTAATTTCTTTTCTTGGCAAAATTTGCGAGCAAGACACTTTTTATGTTCTCTGTTCATTGGATGGCATTTCTTTGTATCATATATTGGATATCTTATCTGTGTGTATATACTGACAATACTGTGTGTATGAAATTTAAACAGAACGAAAAAAAACTGTCCAAAAATCTAAACCTCTTTTTAAAACATCCTCCCGTACATTTTGAGTTTGACACAATTTATATACCTTGTATACTCATAGGTGAATACAGTTGCCTCAAAGTCGATCTACTATTCAAGCGAGAATTCTCATATTACTTAATACAAATTTATATACCATGCTGTATGTTGGTCATTGTATCATGGGTATCATTCTGGCTGGATCAAGGAGCAGTGCCAGCGCGAGTGTCGTTGGGTAAGTCTTCATTTTATGTTTAATACGCTCATCAACATGTTATTTTTCAATTGATTTCTTGTAATGATTGATATAATCGTATCTTTGTATGTACAATATCTATACCCTTGCAGACCCATTTATACCCTTTGTACATCTCCGACCATATGAAGTATATATATTCTTGATCAGGATCACCTCCTAAGTTTATATAAGCATGTCCGTCTGTATTGGTGGTAAGAAATATGGACAAGAAATCTAAAAAATATTTTGTATCAAGATTTTGACGCAGAATGGTGGGAATCGATCTAGAAATCGTTTAAGATACTCCGCTAGAAAATCGTATCAGGAGTGGGGAAGATATAGCTATCGCTGTGGGCCATATAGGGAAAAACCTCATTTTCAAGGGTTCCCATAACGAAAAATGAAAAAAAAATCTAAAAAATATTTTGTCTCTGGATTTTTATGCAGAATTGTGGCAAATCGACCCAAAAATCGTTTAAGGTATTCCGCTTGAGAATCGGATCAGGAGTGGGGAAGATATAGCTATCGCTGTGGGCCATATAGGGGAAAACCTCATTTTCAAGGGTTCCCATAACGAAAAATGAACAAAAAATCTAAAAAATATTTTGTCTCTGGATTTTTATGCAGAATTGTGGCAAATCGATCCGGAAATCGTTTAAGGTATTCCGCTTGAAAATCGGATCAGGAGTGGGGAAGATATAGCTATCGCTGTGGGCCGTATAGGGAAAAAAATCATTTTCAAGGGACATCACGAAAAAGGGACAAAAAATCTAAAAAACATTTTGTCTCAGGGTTTTTATGCAGAATTGTGGCAAATCGACCCAGAAATCGTTTAAGGTATTCCGCTTGGAAATCGGATCAGGATTGGGGAAGATATAGCCATCGCTGTGGGCCATATAGGGGACTACATCCCATAGCTGCCATATACATACATATATTTTTTTTTTTTTTGTAATAGCAGGGTAATGTTTATTTAAAACTGTCCATTAGGGACAACCATTAAATTTTATCACGTAAACTTCACGTATAGATATTTTTAAATATTAATATGGTAGAAAAAAAAATTAGAGTAGTAAGGGGAGGTCCAGCGGGTGTGTCCTTTTAAGTCTTCTGGGTTGCTCGCTGCTGTCCAGCAGGGAGCTGGCCAACCGGTTCGGGTGATTATGAAGCCTCTGCATGTAACGTGCGCTGCTTCTTTGTATCTCGTCCTTGACCCAAGGGAAATTGAGAACCTCGTGGATGGTGCGATTGTCATGATAGACGTGGGCCCCAGTGGCGATTCGAAGGACTCTATTTTCGAAAGCTTGCATAGTTCGGACATTCGTCTTGCTCGCAGTTCCCCAGAGCTGTATGCCGTACGTCCAGATAGGGCGTATTATTGCCTTGTAAATGAGGAGTTTAGTGGAAGTTCTCAGCTTCGATCTCCTACCCATAAGCCAGTTGAAGGATCGAAGTCTTTGAATAGCCTGTTTCCTCTTCTTAATCAGATGGGGCTTCCAGGTGAGCCTCCTGTCTAGGGTGAATCCCAGGTACCTGGGATTGTCTACCTGTGGGATTGGAGAGCCGTTAAGGTTAACTGGAGGGCAGTTGCCTTTGCAGAGAGAAAATGTGGAGGCAGTGGACTTCTCATTATTGACGGCAATGTTCCATCGCTTTTGCCAGTCGCTGAGCAAGTCAAGCTGCAATTGCATCGTATCGGCTGCCCCCAATGCGCTATCGGCGGTGGTAAGGAAGGCGGTGTCGTCTGCATAGGTTGCTGCGAGCAGGTCAGGCCTCTGAAGAACAGGGAGGTCGGCCGTGTAAGCATTGTACATCAACGGGCCAAGAACGCTGCCTTGGGGTACACCAGCGTGAGCTTCTCTAATACCGGAGATGGCCTCGCCACATCTAACAGCAAATTTACGGTCTTCCAAGAACGACTTTAGGAACTGGAAGTATGGTCGGGGTACGCCAGTCTTTAATTTATATAGAAGACCGGGATGCCAGACTCGGTCAAACGCCTGCTTCACGTCCAGCATGACGGCCATGCAGTACTTCTTGGATTCAAACGCGTCCAGGATGCACTGCACTACCCGATGGCACTGCTCTGGCGTACCGTGTCGCCGCCTGAAGCCAAACTGGTGGTCAGGGATCAGTCCAGCCTCGTCAAATACTGGCAGTGCTCTGCTTAAAAACACTCGTTCAAGTATTTTGGAGAGCGTTGGTAACAAACTTATTGGTCGGTAGGACGAAAGGTTTGCTTCGGGTTTCCCGGGCTTAGGTATCATAGTTACCTGGGCACGTTTCCATGTGGACGGGAAGTACCCTATCTCCAAGCATCTATTATAGATCCTCGTAATTAGCTGAATGCTTGGAGGTGGTAACATTTTTAATGCAATTGCATTGATACCATCATCGCCCGGGGCCTTGTTGTTGCTCATGATGGTTATAAGCTCAGCTGTTTCCTCCTCAGTCACTGGTGGTATTGGATCGGCGTCCCTAGAAGGCTCGGCTAGCAGACGGGCAGTTTCAGCAGCATCCTCCGGTGAGCAGCGATCGAAAGGCGTAAAGACACCTTCGAGGTGTTCGGCGAAAGCGTTGGCCCTGTCCATCTCCGATCTGCACCAGCTGCCGTCGGTTCTTTGTACAGGTGGGATCCTTTTCAGCGGCTGTCTGATAGATTTGGTGACTCGCCATAAGTTATGTTGAGGGTCGCCTGGCTCAAGTTGTTCGACGAACCCGTCAAAGGCCTGCTTCCTTAGTCTTGCCAGAGTTTCTGTCAGACATTTGGTCGCTCTATTGAAGGCGGTTTTGTCCAAAGGATTCCTTGAGAGCATCCACACTCTTCGGAGTCGTCGCTTTTCAAGTTTGAGTTCTTCGACTTCTGGGCTCCAAAAATGGATGTCCCTGTCAGTGGCTCTTGGGCGGTTGGAGGGCCTTGGTGCTGCTTCAGAAGCTGCCGCCTGAATATGGGCTGTTAACTCTTCTACAACGGAGTCGATGTCAACCGGGGAGTCAAGTGTCGGGCTGGGGTCGGTAACGTTGTTCAGGTAGGATTGGTACTTGTCAACGTCTGTTGTCTTGTAGATCAGCTTTTTGCGGGCTGACCTGAGCAAGGCTGGGGTGAAAAGTGACACGGCAAAGGCGCTGTGGTCCGAAAAGAGGTCTTCCACTTCTCTCGCTTGAATTCCGGCAGAATCCAGTCCTCCGGAGATGGCGAAGTCTAGCACATCAGGGATTTTGTGGGGATCCGTAGGCCAGTATGTGGGTGCACCGGTTGCGTGACAGCTCAAGATTCGGGACTGAATCTGCCTGTATAGGGCCGAGCCCTTTGGGTTCGTAATCCTGGAGCCCCACCAGGGGTGTTTAGCATTAAAGTCCCCTCCGATTATGAACTTGGGGCCGAGGCAATCCAGTAGCAAGCCGAATTCCTGTTCGTGGATGTTGTGCCTGGGGGGCAATATGCTGCGGCGATTGTTATGTCACCGTTGGTAGTGGAGATTTTAATTTGGGCACATTGTACCCAGTCTTCGCACATGGCTGGAAGTGCCTCATACTTGATGCAGCTGCGAATAAGGATGGCCGCGCCCCGCCGCGACCTCTACCGTTCGGGTGGTTAGCGGCAATGAGGTCGTATCCTCTAATAGTCAAGTATGATCTGTTGGTAAAATGCGTTTCTGATATGAGGAGAACGTCTGCTTGGAGGGTCTTGCAATATAGCTCGACCTCTGGCCTTCTTTTTACCAGGCCGTTAGCATTCCATATGGTTATATTTAATTGCGTATGCATAAGGATTTGCAAACGGTGGCCATCATTTGGGCTATTTGGCTTAAGACCTTCTCCATCATGCGCTCAAACATAGATTCCATCCTAGCCGTTAGGGCGTCCATTGGATTACTTGAAAGACTGGGATCGGGATTGGGGTTGGAGTCAAACTGTGGTGCTCCGTTTTTGACTGCGCTAGCATAGCTGATGTTAGGGTTAAGGGGTCACGCCACCCTGAAATTTTCAAAAAATCGATTTTTTTTTTTTTACTTAATTTAAAAGACTATATTCTTACGCGTATTTTAAGACGTCCCCGAAGACAATATCTTGATAATTATGGAAGTTATGTTTATTTGAAGGCGGCACTGCAGGAGGGCACCTAAGACACTTGTTTTTCTTCTTTTGCGTTTTTCTCGAAACTACTTTTTTCAAGACGGTGGGCATGATAACTCAAAAACTGTTCAACCGATTGACTTGAAAATTGAAACACATCTTCTTACATAGATTTTCCACAGAGTGACGTAGGATTTTTTTGATCCAATGGATAGAAATTTTTTTATGCAATTTTTAGTACGAAATTTTTTGCCCAAAACATTGAGTCAAGTTTTGAAGTGCTCTCATTTGCGTAATTTTTCTTCTTTTCTAAAACGGCTACGTCACTCTGTTCCAAATTTATCACTTTTTAAAAAAAATGTTGTTTACTTTTTTCTGATGAAAATTGACACGTGAATCATGCCCACCATCAAGGAGCACTCCGGAAAAACCCATGATCGCCGATGTTCATATCTCCGCCATTTTGAATTGAAAACAAATTTTTTTTTAGAATTTATAAAGCTCATTAGTTGTATTAAATAGAAATAAAAGTGGAAAAATCCTATCTCAACTAGTTTAGTCACAAGAAATTCCTGAAAAACCGTCCCGTTTCCACGCGGTCAGGGTGGCGTAACCCCTTAATTTTGCTGAATTGAGGTTGCTGGCGTCTTGGGGCAGCCTGCTTGGGGGCGAACGTGCTCTTTGCCTTTTTGTAGGCTGGACAGCCCTTGTAAGAGGCCGCATGTGATCCGTCGCAGTGGAGGCAGACTGCTGGTTCACTGGCAATTTTGGTGCATTCGGACGATGGGTGCCTATCTCCACACTTTACGCATCTGTACTCCAGATGGCAGTACCGTTTCGTGTGACCGAAGCCCTGGCAGCGATGGCATTGGGGCACATCGTCGAATTTTTTTGGTGGCTCAACCGTAACCACCGTGCTGCATAGCCGCTTGACTTGAAAGGCCTCCTTGTTGTTTTTGGCTGGCTCGAGGTTAATAAAGAAAATGTTTAGTGGCTTCTTTGTACCTTTTTGCATAGGATTGTGTATATACCTGACTTTGTGTCCATGGCTGCTGAAACCCACCTTAATATCCTCCGGGTCGGTGGAGAAGTGGAGGCCTTTAACGACGATCCGATAAGCGCGCTCGTCTCGGGGCTGGAATGTGTGGTATCGATGGTTATTTTCGCTCAGGAACTTTTTCAGAGTTGAGTAAGTATCCTTATCTGGAGTCATGACGCGAATTGTGTTGTTAGTGCTTGCTTTGTAGGTCACTTCAACATCCCCGCCTAAGAGGTGGGAAATGTCTTTGGAAAGGCCCTTGATGCTGGATACGTCCGGGATAAAAATTGGGGGCGGTTTGATGATTTTCGCCGTTTTTACCGCAGATTGCTTGGTTTTCTTATCATCTTTTTCTTCATAACGTCAACCTCCATGTCGCTGACACGATCTTCATCGTCTAAATCAGAAAGAATTGCATAATAATTTTTTTCAATATTAGCTTTAAGTGCAGCTCTGGCTGCTTCGCTGGTGGTAGGTTCGTCTTCCATAATGGGTTTTTTAGCAGACTTCCGCTTCATTTCTCCATGCTCGGAGTCGCTGGAATCGACATCTTGAAAATTAGAATAGGCTTTCTTTTTCGAAGGCGGCTTGATTTTGATGGAACTGGGAGGGTTTTGCCAGCCCATTAAGTTGGTTTTGCCCGAGAATGGCCGCAAGATTAAGTAAATAAGAGTGGTTTTATATTTTTTTGGTGGTTGGAAAAAAAAAAATTTAAATTTTTCTTTTTATTTTTTTAACAAACAATAAAACGATGCTTTCAGTTCAAAGCCTACCTCTCGTTCAGGACATACATATATAACTGAACTTTTGGTTTGAGAATTTTGGTTTTTGAAGAAAGAAAGTTGAAAGTTCCCACAGATTTTATTTTGGGTCCGACCTTCTATGCGACCTACCAAATTTTATGGGTCGACTATATCCTTTAGCTGCCATATAACTGAACAATCGGAATAAATATATGAGGCAAGGGTATATGACATCGGCTCCGCCCGATGTTAACTTTCCTCTCCTGTTTTAATATATTTTGCTTTGTGTATTACCCCTTGCAGGTGTGACCACACTCCTGACCATGGCCACGCAGACGTCGGGCATTAATGCCTCCTTGCCTCCCGTGTCGTACACGAAGGCCATCGATGTGTGGACAGGAGTGTGCCTGACCTTCGTGTTCGGGGCTCTGCTAGAGTTCGCCCTGGTGAACTATGCCTCCCGTTCAGGTTTGAATAAAGCTAGTAATTGAGATTTGATATGCTTCTTAACAACATATAAATGTTAATTAATCGATGGTGTTTATCTTTTTTTACTGTTGTTTTATTGTACTGAGTGATATCGAATATACCGTATATATAACTATATAGTATTTTCATATATAAATGTCTACGCCTACTGTACATAAGAGAACAACTCACACGACAACAACAACTTACACACAGCAACACTCGCATACCACCACCCTCACAACATTGAGTAGCAGGATCTGAATACTCTACCCCATTTCTTGATGTGGCACACAACAACAATAACAAAATATCGGGCTTTATACACAGACCTATAGACCTACATATGTGGTCTGTATGTCTGTGCAATGGTCTTAAAAAGCTTAGTCGTAGAATTTTGATCGATTTTCTTTCATTTTCTTTCTATTTGTTATCTAATCACAAAATGATTTATTTTATGTGAATTCTGACTAATCCAGGTTTTGGTTTTACTCTCTTATTTCATTGTCCGCTCTCACCATTCATCGACATCGACATTTCCAATACGAACACTCGAACACACCCAAATACTCGCTTTTCACCGACCATGAACTTTGAAACGCGTTTGAAAAAATCAACATTGACTAATCGGTCGAACTTCCTTTCGAACTGCAATAATTTCATTTCGGTTCTTCGTTGTTGTAAACAAAAAACAAAAACCTAAAATCAAAATGCTTGCAAATAACAACCACCTATGTGCTAATCAACCCCACGACCCCTGTGGTAACCCAACTATATAATTATTTGCTTTTAATTTTTACCATCCTGCGTACCCCTGAACCCCTGAATCATCGATCTAATGCACTCGATTTTTATTTGAATTTCTATTGATTTGGTGGACATTTCGAATCGTTTAACGTTTTCTGTATGTGTGACTATCTCTCTATCTTTCTCTTTCTGTCTGTCTCTATCTCTGTCACGACTAACACTATCGCTGTCTAACCTAATAACTGTGTATAATCTGTGCATCTAAAAAAAACACAAACCTAAAAAAAAACTGTCTGTAAAAATTCATAAAAACCCAAAAATAAACATCATCACCACCTACCCAACTGCCTTGGAACAAATAAATTCTTGTCAACCATCTTCTATCACATGCGTATCTATGAAATATACGGATCGGGCCGCAGACATGCATAAGGAGAATATGAAAAAGAAGCGCCGCGATCTGGAGCAGGCCAGTTTAGATGCCGCTTCAGATCTGCTCGATACAGATAGCAATGCAACGTTCGCAATGGTACTTACCTCTTGATATATCTCTTTTTGCCAACCTAAACACCTATTTTGGTTTTATCGGGGCTCTCTTTGTAAGAGTTATTTCTCCTTTTCCTAACTTATTTTCAACATTATTTAGACGGTTTTAATTTCTCATGATAATGGCTTGTGGGTAAACATTTTTATTTTTTACAACCAAGTTCATATACTTTTTGTTTTCAACTCTAATTGGCTTAAACAAAATTATTATGATAAAACTATTAAAACAACTATTTCCTTTTGTATTTGCCTCTATTTTATTACCACAAAACAAAAACAAAATTTCCAAAAAAAAAAAAATGCCAAATTCAACAACTTTTTTCAAACGTGCTCATCCCAATTTACAACAACAACTAACCACAAATAAACTGAAACTGCAACATCAAACAAAAAACTGAAACTCCAACCTCCCACCATCACAACCATCGTTGAACATCGCCGGCAACCAAAACAAACCACTCAACCGGAATTGAATTGAAAAATTGCAACGAAATTAAATCAAATTACGCACATGCCATTGCATTACTCCATCCGACTGAACCATCCAACCACCTGTGCCACTGCTACCACTACAACCACCACTGTCACCATTGCCATCCCCCATTTGCATTCGAATACAATCGAAACTTTCATGTCAAACGGCGTCGCAATATACTCGCCATGGCGGCCAACAGAAACCGTTAGTGCGTCATCCTGGCGATCCACTGGCCCTAGAGAAACGGCTCCAGTGCGAGGTGCACATGCAGGCCCCGAAGCGCCCCAACTGCTGCAAGACCTGGCTCTCCAAATTCCCAACAAGGTAACTAACGGGGTCCCAAGACCCCCTCCGGTAGCATAACCCTAACTCACCCGTGTAGATATCACTTATAGACCCATTGTGTTCCGTAGTAGTTGGTGGATTTACTTTTTGATGTTGTGAACATTTACTATTCTACTCTGTATATTCTCTTTCACTAACTCTTGTTGACTTTTTTGCTAACTCACATAACTTTACTACAGTCATTGAATATCCTGAAAATGTGAAAGAAAACCAAATGACAAAAAATATATACATGTTACAAAAACGAAAAGAAAATAAATGAAAACCAATCCCGATATCTGCCGCTTGCTTGCCGTTCGTTGAATTCTGTTTGCTCGCTGTCTTTTGTTGCCAATAAAACAATGACGAGATTTAATTGCTTGCCGAAACCAATTCAAGTATTTGTGAAATTAAAAAATTGCATTTCAATTTGTTTTTAATTGATTTTTGAACCCTTTTGAATTCGCACCACTTATGGTTGCCATTCAGAAAGTTATGCTTTGCTTTGCAATTATTTTGTGTGTGATTTGTTTGTTTTAAATTTGGAATATTTTGGTTGTAGAAACTGTGATTAAACTTTCCCTTCATAAACTCACCAGAAAAAAATTGAAAATCATTGAAAAAATAGGCCATTAACCATTTAAAATTATCTAAAAATTTACAACCATTTCTGTGCCTAATAGAATCGCCGAATATCCCTACTCCCAGTACTTTCCTTCCTGTATGTAGAATCTTTTATTCCCTAGTTTCCGCACTTTTTCTGTTTTCGCACGTAGCTTTTCCCAACATTTAAAACAAACAAATTATTTTGCCAAATATTTTCAAAACTAATTTCTAAAAACGAAAAACCAATCTTTAAAAATTGTCTATTAAATAAAAACAAAGAAATCACAAAAATCAAAAAGCCAATCTCTAGATGATCAATTAATTTATATTTTCGTACTTGTTTAATGCCCAAAGACAATGTTCTAGATCGAAGAGAATCGATGTTATATCGCGGATCACGTTCCCGCTGGTCTTTGCCCTATTCAACCTGGTCTACTGGAGCACATATCTCTTCAGAGAGGAGGAGGATGAGTAAATGCCGTTACCTATTGCCAAATCCAATTACTTTATAGAAGAGTTGGGCGCTGGTGGACAACATGAATTTACTAACCTATTTCTTTCACTTTCTTTTCCATTTCGGTTGAACTTCATTTCATGCTTTTCTGTTGCGTATGGCTTTGTTGGCTTCATTTTCGAATTCGAATTTGGTTGATTCCTTGATTGACACGTTGATTGAAATGATTTAATTACGACCACTAAAGGACCTTCTAAGGCGCGTCTCTGACACCCAGTGGCTATGTAGAATCCAACCCGAAATTAACTTATTATAATGTTAATGAGATCGAAGTAAAGGGATGCATTACGATAAATCTATATGTATGGTTATGTCTCGGAACAGTGCAGAATAGTTAAGTAAAAAAGTGAATACTTAGTAACCAGGCGAGGCTTCAAGGCACTTCCTCTAAGCAATTGGAATGATGAGCTGGAAACTGTATTAGACGATTGACACAAAACGATAGTTAATTATAAGCTAAATTGATCAAGAGTGACTGCATAGTAGTTAATGTTATAAATAATTATATAATACACTCCCATACTGACACTCACATCCATAAACTTGATTTATTTCTGAGGATGCTCCAAATTGTTACAAATTGATGAATCATTTTAGCTGGTGACCGATTTTAATCAAATTTTGTTTCGGACCCCAGCCTATTGTTAAATCTATAAATTTGCAATTGATTTGTACTTAAATGCGTTAAGTTAGTTAAGCCGCAAACAGAGAGAAATGAGGTCGTAGACGAATCGACGTTTGTAAATATCACATACAATAAGTTTTAAGCGAAACTAGTTTAAATGAATTCTAATTGTAAAAAGCGTGTAGATAATTTAAGTTTAGTCGATAAAAAAAACAACTATTCGAGGCGAGAAACTCTAGGTAAATTCAATTAAATTATGTTCACCATCGTAATGAATAAAAATCAAAACGAAAATATCGAAAGATCCTTGAAAGCACACAAAAACAAAAACAGATTTTTATTTTACAATTTTTGCCCAAACCACTCGTAAATGCTAACTTCAACTGAAACTGAAACTGGTGGGTATTTGCAAGTTCTTCCTTGTTCTTCTTTTACTATACAAATTTATAATTATTTATATATATTCGTTAGAACGGCTTGCCTTTGATTTTAGAGTTACTTTTTCAATCGTAGCTAAGTAGTTATTATAATTACGGGGGATGAAGCCCAATAATTCTGATTCCTCTTTTATTTAAATTCTTAGAAAAAAATTAATAATAAATCAATTAACCATTAGTTACTTATTTATTGGACCGCAATGGCCCTCTATCATAGTTAGTTAATTTAAATTATTAGATTTACTAAAATATAAATATGCGAGATGCAAACCATAAACCAAATAACAGACAATACAATATATATTTTATCATGTAGTGCAAGTCCCCAAGATCTTTAATCTACACATAAATTGATAAAGTTCAATATGATACTCCATAAATTATATCAAGATTAATATAGTTTTTTTTTTTATATCCATAACAGTTACTGATTATTTAAGTGCCTTTTGTAACCGAAGAAGATTTTTCTTCTACTTTTCTTCCTGTTTTTAATACTTGAAATTAAAAAACTTTTTTTTGAGCAACTAATCTTTTTTGAGCAAAATATCTCTGTCACCCAAAAAATTCAAACTTTTAAAGTGCACTAACCGTACCCATAAAACATGCAGATCAAGTTTTAGAATTAACAAAAAAATGTGAATTCTACATAGCAACAACCGATACCGAAATCACACTAATGATATTTAAATCCTTAAAATAAAATTCAACTTTTGTAGTTTGTAATATTTTGAATTAAATTGAAAGCTTGTTTCGTCTCATGTTTGATTTGACTTTTTCATTGGTTTCGAAAATACATTTTTTCGTTCGCTATCATTTCCAATCTAAAGGTAAGAAATTAAACGTAAACAAGAAAAAAAAACAGAAAATCAAAAATCAATTGAAACTTACTCTAATATATAAACACTTAACACGGCACCCACATAATAATTGTTGTCATAAAACAGGCGATCAGAACACAAATAAAAACCAAAATCAGAAAATAGTTAATAGATACTTTCATGTTGTAAAAGTTGTGCCAAGCAAAGCGAAAACAGAAATTAGTCAGAGAATATCGAAGGACGTCGCTAAATTATACCTAACTCTAGCTATAGTTGTATTGTAAATGAAACTATTGAACATACAGGGTTTTTAAATGTGAGCATTAAATTGATGGAAGAGGATATGTCGGCATAATAGAGTAAATAGCTGCAGAAAGCTGGACCGGATGCAGGCCAGATGATTGATACGCATTGATTGATGTACTATGTAGAGCAAAACCAAAATATAAAAAAAAAATAAGCAGAAAAAATATTCACAGCGGAAAAAGAACAATTAATTAAATTAGATCATACACGAGGGGAGGGCGAAAATTTGTTTTCGGCGTTTAATTTAAGTGGAGAAACATACTTAGGTTGTGTGCTGCTTTTCAGGTGTCGTTCTTCAATTCGGTCAATTATATTTTTTTTCCCGGGCAAATCGTTTAGCAGCAGCAGTCCAGTTTCAATGTAAATAGTTTGGGTCGGAAGATGTAAATGTCATTTACTGGTTAGGTTAACAAAAATTTAAAGAAAAAACTACGCGAATAACGTAACACAAAATGTGCACGACTTTATAATATAGATGCGTTCCAAAAAGACTTAAAGGTTTTGATTAACATGAGAAAAACATAGAGATAAAATCGTTTGCCATGGATGTGGTAGCGGAAACGGAAATGAGACCCGTGTGGAAAATAAATTTGAGGTGTAACCTAGATTGTAAGTTAACGTATGTATGTGTAGTTGTTAAGAGACCGTGTTGCAAATCGCATTCGCAAAACAGACTAGTTAAAAATTCACAATACCAAACTAAACTAAGACCAAGAAATCGCATTCACCACCCACACTCTATCTAAACTCACTTGAGAGACTCACTCACCCAGTAACTCACTCACTCAATGTTTACTCTTTGCTAAAAAAAAAATCAAAAGAAAACCAAATTGGAATCGGAATCCAAATCGAACACAAAACAAATATTCGCACAATTTGAGGAGAGAAGCGAGTTCGAGTTATTGCAAGTAAAAATTTAGATAAATCATAACACATATCTTCCAAAAGAAAAAGGGGGCGACCCATGGCCCATTTCTAACAATCAAACAACTCCGCATCTAAGTTCTATAGGAGAAATGTAAATACGAGCGAAAAACAAGAAAACAAATCATTGAAATCGAAATTGAAAAAAAGATCAATAACACAGCAAATCACCTTACTTTATAGGGCTAAGTCAGGACATGCACATTCACACACTCAGCAAAACACTGTATAACCCTAATGAAGGAGCTAGCAAAGTTCGCCCCAACACGATAGTCTTAAGACCGAGGAGTTTTGGTAACAAACGACAAATGAATTTCGCAGTAGCGCAATCCAATCCAATCCAGGAACATGAATAATCCCAATCACAGTAAACCAATCTAACAAGAACAAATGTAGGGCAACCATAGAACCGGCTAGAGGCCGTCAATGGAAAATTAAACAGCAAATCAAATGTCTACAAATGTGAAGAGATTAGTAGCATAATTTTACAAAAATAGTTGAAATAATTGTTGTCATCCAGATGGGAAAGAAATCCATTGATTGAGATACGAAAAAAGCAAGAGAAAAACAAATAATTGTGTAAAACCCCCCAGATTAATGATGTTTGTGAAATGTTTATAAATAAATGAAACAAAACGAAACGAGAGAATACACATAATAAATGACTTTTAATCAATTTTTATTTTCAATATTAAATTAGTTTATTCTAAGGTAAGAGGTAGTCACAATTTTACGTCATATGCAATTCTGTTTGAAATTTAAGTAATATTTTAATTCCTATTTTTGACTTGAAGGTAGTGTGCTTTGTTGGCTATGCGATTAGTTTTTCCGTTGGCACTTCGCATCAGATCGTTTACAATGATTGCTCCGGCATTCAGTTGCTTATACTTGGAGTCCGTACGAGACTGGACATAGTCCACCACATCCTGTTCACTAAGACTACATCCTTGTCTCTTGACTACACATGCGGCAGCCTCATCTCCATAGATATTGCTCCACACTCCGAAAACACAAACCTCGGCTACCTCTGGCATTTGGGATATTATGGCTTCGATGTCATTTGGATAGTACATGATGTTCTGATACTTGAGCATATCCTTTTTGCGCTCCATAATGTACAGGAAGCCATCGCGGTCCACGTAGCCCAGGTCACCGGAGTGGAACCACCGCTTGAGGTCCCGCATATCTCGGGTCTCCTGTTGATTTCCGAAATATCCCATCCAGTGCTGGCCATTGCTAATACACACCTCTCCCATCTCCTCGGGACCCAGTGACTCACCCTGGTCGTTGATTATCTTCATCCTTAGTCCATTTACCAACCGACCCACCGAATTGGGCTTCTGGTCATAATGCAAGTTGATTGTAGCCATGGCGCCCAGCTCGGTGAAGCCATAGGCGAATTGTAAACAGTCCTGGCTCAGGCGACTTCTTATACTGTTCTGCACTTCTACGGAGGCTCGAGATCCTCCATACATGTAGCACCGTAGACTGGATAGATCACAAGTCTCAAACTCCGGGGTGTTGACCATCATAGCCATAGCCGAAGGTGGTTGAATGATCCAAGTGACTTTGTAATCCTTAATAAGTTTCATCGCAAAAACAGGATCAAAGGCATTATCCGCTATGATACGAGTTGTGCTATATACCCCTGAGGTGATAGTGGTCAGGAGACCAGTAATCCAGTCAAGGGTGTTGTGGGAGTATTGAATATCCGAGGTGGTCAGATGGCTGGTGGTTAGAATATAAGTAATTTTTAAATTATATTAAGAAAAGTTGTTAATTTTTAAACTTACTGGTTAGCCGCCAAAATTTGTCGGCTATTGGAGATGGTGACAGCCTTGGGAATACCAGTGGTGCCCGAGGAACACAGAATGGCCAGCGTCTGATCATTTCCCTGTTCCAATTCAGCGGGCTGAAAATTATCCTCGATTGGAGTGTCCAGAACTTCATTGATCGTGATAGATTCCGAATGGTGATTGCGCATGGTAATGATTTTCACATCCAATTCAGAGGTGGCCTCTCGTACTTTTTCGAATTCATCTCCATCACAGAATATCAGTTTTGGCTTGGTGATGTTGAACAGCTTTTCGATAGTGTTTCGGTCATAGGTAATGTTTAAAGAATGGAAAGCAATTCCATTGAAAAAACAGGCATAAGCCACGGCGGGTAAATGGGTGGTGTTCCTGGCAATGAGTCCAACCACATCGGTTTGGAGGAGGCCTTCAGATCTCATGAAACTAGCCACATGCATTGTGTTTTGCAGAAGTTCTTGCCTAGTCAGTATTGTGTTTTCCGTTGCCGAAATCTATAAGATCCAATATATGAATTTATTTCCTAATATCTTAACTTAGTATTTTTTTGCATACCTGAGCAATTTGTTTGGGATGTCTCTGCATTTCCTTGAAGATTATTTCTCCAATTGATAAATGGCGGTCAAAGTAGTGCGTTACTTGGTCTCCGCTCCAGATCTTAAGATCGGAATTGTAGTAGTTCACTGGAGTATAGGGCATCTTTTCGCAGATAAGTTTCACTTCCAACTGTTGGCCGTCCACAGCAGAAATCTCTCTTTTATAGATCCCGTAGAACGTTTACGGCGGTCAGATTAAGATAACATCTTTAAGTGAGAAAAAGATAGATCGTTGTAAACGGCACCATACCAGATGGCGACAATATAGTATAAGTCATGCGTTATCTTTACATTACTCTAAGCATTTTTTTATTTAAACAAAAAGGAAAATTTCACCAAGTTTGTTTACATTTTGTCAAAAATATAAGTTGTTGGTATCTGCGTTATATTTCGCGATAACAAAGTCATGAGACTTGTTGTCTTGTAGGTAACTTCTTTGCCAGAAGCTTATCTATAAGCTTAGCGGATGAAAGACATTACATACGGGTTTAGCATTTCGCTCGATCATCTGTGATCTTTGGCCAACTGGGCGGAGCGGTGTTTATTTAGGCCCCGGCGGTTTTTGCGTGGTAATGTTTGTGCCGATCTGCTGGTTATCTGTAATGACGTTAATATCCAACATTAGACTGCAATTCTTTGATATACTGACAAGGTAGTTAAGTTAATTATGATTTCTTGTAAAACAGTATGATTCGCACTTTGATTTACCCACTCGGCATGAAATGTTTTAAACGAAACGTTTCTATGATGTTTCTTAAACCTGTATATACTATATCGATCAGGTAGATGCCTTGAACTATACATATTTAATCTTTATTAATTTAATAATAAATTAGACTATCAATGGAAAGAAATAGACCAATGCTACTGGTAGGTGCCTGCTGGTAGAGAATCTGTCTTAGTTAGTGGTCAGGATACGGATGAATCTCCCGGATGACATTAACCTTCGTATTTTGGGCATTTTTTATATTCGATTATTTAGATAACAAAATAATTTTTAAATTTCGCCAATTTTCCCCCTTCAAGTCTGTTGAGTTAAATTTTTCAACTTTCCTTCTGTAAAACATGTAACAGAATTTTTTTTCTGTTATCACGTACGGCCTTTATTTATCTTACTCACCAGATGGCGCTATGTCCCAAACAGAGAGCTTCACATTTCGGACGCCACGTAATGTAAAGATAAGGCGCCACTGTGAGTATTTTACAATAATATTTTTATTTAAATCTATTATTTTAAGTAATTTATTTCCTAACAATAAATTACTTCACATATTTTCTTTATTTATATATGAATGAAGTCATTGTCCAAAATATCCTCCAAACATTTTTGGATAGAGTTGGCAACAATTTATTTAATCATTAACGTGGTAAAGATGTCCTCCATTTAATCCAACAACTTCTTTATAATTAGATCCATTAAAAAACATTTACGGAAGTGCTAGGTAAAAAACAATAATAAAAAAAATTATGTACCTACTGAATAATTGGAAAACTAACAAATTGGCGTTTTTCATTGCACAACTTGGTAGTTATCTGATCCGTGATATGTTATTTCAACGAGATATCGTGCAAAGCAAACGGCTTGGCAATCAATAGGTGGAATTAAATATCCGGACACTTTAACTGCTAAATTGCCGACTAATTTGGCCAATTTCTCTGACCTTTAAATAGAAGATTCCGACCGCGATCGAGCCGCAGTTGCGAACCGCGCGTGCATCAAAATGTTGGACCTTATCGGTAACTTTGCAACCCACTACGATGGGAATCAAAAGATTTGGAGTGGCTCCAGCCAGCAGAGTCTGTACAACGATGATTTGACAGCAGGCCAGATCATCTTCCGGCAGTTGCAACGCCAGCCCCAAAGGATATTTCAGATATCTCACACTGATAATACCCGCCTGACCCGATCACAGATGCTGCAAAATGCCGCCAAGGTGGGCTGCTATTTAAGGGATCAGGGTTTCAAGAAGGAAACAGACATCGTCGGACTCATGGCCCGCAACTCCACCAATGTGGGAGCTCTGGCCTATGGTTGCCTCTTCAACGGCACCCCCTTCCACGCCGTCAATCCCAATCTAGAACAAAAAACCATTGACAGCCTCTACAAGATCACGAAGCCTCGTATCCTTTGTTGCGACGTGGCAGACTATGAAAAGATCAAGGACATAGCAACCAGTCTGGGTGCTCTAGTCCTCATTGTCAATGGAACGGTTAATGGAGTAATGAGCGTCGGTGATCTCCTCCAGAAACCTCTGCCTAAGGACTACGAGCCAGCTCAGTTTCATCGTGGTGTCGACCGCACCATGGCCATTCTCTGCTCCTCGGGAACGACGGGCACTCCCAAGGCGGTGACTCTCTCCAATAGTCGAAAGTTGTTCGAAACCCACAGGTATATTAAGTACAAGTATTATGTAATATTAGTTTAACTTATTGACTAACTAAACTCCCCTTTCTCTTTCCTGAAGCTATTTGGGTCCCGATGACGTTCAATACGCTCCGAGCACCCTTGATTGGTTGACGGGACTCATTACCCTGGTCACGGCTGGTGTCTATGGAACAATTCGTCTGATATCGAGCCAGATGTTCAGCACTAGCCACTTCCTGGAACTGTGCGAGCAACACGAAATCAGTTGGACTGTTATGGCCAACTCCCATGTGGCTATGCTGGCGAATTGTCCGCAAACCCGCGCCCAAAAACTGCGAAGTCTGAAGCACTTGATCTTCGCTGGCGGTCACTGCTTAGTGGCTACCCTGAAAAAGATGCAGTCCTTCCTGCATGGTCCTGGAATCCTGAGGAATGCCTATGGTCTTACCGAGGTGGGAGCATTGGTGTCCTACAATTTTGAGACTCAGCTAAAGCCAACTTCGGTGGGTCGTCTGATGGAAAACATTCGGGTGAGGATCGTGGACGCGTCAGGGCAGTTGCAAGGACCCAAGGAGATGGGAGAGGTCCAGTGCCACAATGGTCAGACCTGGAGCGGTTACTTTGGGAATCCCCAAGCCACCGCAGAGATGCGGGACGCGGCTGGATGGTACCATACCGGCGATATTGGATACTTTGACGAGGACAACTTTCTGCACATTGTGGAGCGCAAGAAGGACATGCTAAAGTACCTGGGCATGATGTACTATCCGCACGAGGTGGAGGAAGTGATTGCCCAGATGCCTGATGTGGCAGAAGTCTGTGTCTTTGGAATCTTCAGGGAGACGGAAGGAGATGCTGCCGCTGCGTCGGTGGTCCTTCGATCGGGGAGCAAGCTGAAACCCAGCCATGTGGAGGACTACGTCCGTCAGAACGTGTCGGTGGAGTTCAAGCATCTCCATGGAGGAGCACAGATTGTTCCCCAGTTGGCCAAAAGTGCCAATGGAAAGGTGAACCGACATGCAGTCAAAGCTGCTTACTTAAAACAAAAACCTTAGTAACAAATTAATTAACATAAGAGTTTGAAGCAATTAAAATAAATGTGTTTCCAGCTTAAGTCACGTTTTCATTTACCAGGTTTTTTTATATCACAAACTTTAAAGAAAAGTTGTAACAAGTCTCTCTTAGAAAGTTCCTAATAGAAACACATATTATTCCAAAGGATCAAAAAAAACATTGTTACAAAATTCAACATGATATGGAATATCTTTCAAATTAGGTAATACTAAAATGCACTATGCATTTAATAATTCTTGTAATAACTGCTTTAACAAATCTAACAACTAGATAAGATAAATGCTATTAACTAAAAACAAAAACTAGTTCAAGGTGGTGAGCAAAAATAGTTCCCTGATTCTTTAAGTAAAATTTATTGTTGTCTGGATATCAAAGTTCATAATCATCACACATTAACCAGGTTTATTACATAACCCCTTATAGCTAATCAAAGTTATTAACTATAAAACGTAAAGTAATACCTCTCTCTTTCTGGTAGGTGTAGTAACTCTCATTTTCTTCGAAGATCAATCGATATGTCTATGTTTACTTTTTCCCAAGCTGCTCCCAGCACGCGATTTCTATACAAATAATCAAATAATTCTCAATTCAGAATCTGCTGAATCACGTTTATATACCCCCCGCCAATTACTCGGCCAGTAGTGTCGGCAAGTGTTTTGTTATGGAGATTGCCGATCTGAGCTACCCAGTTGCTCTCAAGTGCGAATGCAATCGCGTGTAATCAGCGCTACCTACTCGTATGCCCCGAAAGTTATCTAAAATAGTTAGCTGCGACCTATAAAAGTAGAACTGCATTCGCTTTTCGCAGCCAGTCGAAAATTGAAACTGCAAGGCAAACAACGACACTCAGAATGCCTTTTCAACCAGCGATTTCCTACGATTCCGATCTCAAAGTCTGGAGTGGAGATCAAGTAATGCACTACTTCGACCCACACCTATCCATCGGAGAGATCATTTTCCACGAGATGCGAAGGCATCCCAAGCTCATTGCTCAGGTGGGTTAAGCGAAATAATCCTTAGCTCAAGTTTACTAACAAGATCTGTATACTTCCAGATCTCCGCCACGGAAAACACAGTACTCACCAGAGAGGAACTTCATGCGAATTCCATGCACGTTGCCAGCTATATGAGATCTATGGGTCTACTCCAGTCCGATGTGGTTGGCATTATCGCCAGGAATACCACCCATATTTTCGCAGTGACCTATGCCTGCTTCTTCAACGGAATCGCCTTTCATTCCCTAAACATCGCTTACGAAGAGAACACCATTGAGAAATTATTTGACATAACCAAGCCCAAGTTAATATTCTGTGATGGAGATGAATTCGATAAAGTTCGAGCTGCCACCGTTCACCAGAATGTAAAAATCATCACCATGCGTAATCATCCCACTGGATCTATAACTATAAATCAGGTCCTGGCCACCCCAATCGAGGATAACTTCCTGCCATCCCAACTGGAACAGGGTAACGATCAGACCCTGGCCATTCTCTGCTCCTCGGGCACCACTGGTATACCAAAGGCTGTTACCATAACGAACAGTCGACAGATTTTAGCTGCCAGCTTGTGAGTAGTAAACTATTAATTAAGTTTAAGTTCCTAAGAAATAATTAGAAATAATTGCTAGCCGCTTGACAACCGACGACGTTCAGTTCACCCAAAGCACTTTGGACTGGATAACCGGACTGCTGACCACGATAACCTCGGGGGTGTTCAGCACAAAACGCATCATATCGGATAATGCTTTCGATGCTGCCCTTTTCATGCGACTCGTCGAGGAATATAAGATCACCTGGACCATTCAGGCACCCGCCCATATGGCCATGATGGTGAACTGTCCCTCATTCGAAACCTCTGATCTTTCGAGCTTGCGTTATTATCTTTTTGGAGGATCGAGAGCCTCGGTGGAGACTCAGCATCTGATCAGGAATCGTTTAAGTAGTAACTGCCTGCACTTCGCTTACGGATTCACGGAGCTGGGTGCCATGGCATCGATTAACTTCCACTTTGACGAGAAACCCAATTCCGTGGGTCGGCTGGTCAGTGGGATTAAGCTGAAGATAGTCAGTGAGCAGGGCGAGTCCCTGGGTCCAGACGAGGTGGGGGAGATTTGCATACATAACGGCCAGTATTGGGCCGGGTACTACGGCAATCCGGCGGAGACCCACTTGATGCGGGACTCCCAAATGTGGTTCCATAGCGGAGACCTTGGCTACGTTGACGACGATGGATTTATCTATATAGTGGAGCGGAAAAAGGATATGCTAAAGTATCAGAACATCATGTACTATCCCAACGAGGTTGAAAGTGTCATCTCTGAAATGCCGGACGTGGTGGAGGTCTGTGTGTTCGGGGTTTGGGATCAGATCTATGGCGATGAGGCTGCTGCTGCTGTCGTGAAGAAACAAGGCAGCTCTCTTAGGGCCCAGGATGTGGTGGACTACGTAGCGGAACATATAAAGGCCAAGTATAAGCAATTGAACGGAGGAGCCATAATCGTTGAGGACCTCAAACGCAGTCCCAATGGGAAAACCAACAGAATGGCTAATAAAGCGCATTTCCTGGAGGTCAAGAACTCTAGTTAATGGCTGACATTGGATCAAGTTTTGTTTCGTTTTATCATTTGATTACAAAGTAGAACAATTAAAAGTAAGAAATATAGATTTTAAAAGAGGGACTCGTTTTGTATTGGAAAGTCAAAGATAGGGTATTAATCTAGATAGTTATTATTATTTAATTTTTTTGGTGTATCTCCAACCCCTTTTAATTAATCTTATCTAGTTAGAATCCCTTATCGTTGAGCTTTTCAAGCTTCTACACAATATCAGTGACGTAGTAAACCGCTTGGAAAATATGAAATTGAATCGGTTGGATGATAAGAATTCTCTTGGACTGGCAGTGGCCAAAGCTTTGAGGGAAAAAATCGCCAGTTGCTGAGGAACCGTAACTGGAACCGGACCCGGATTCACAACCGGATAGAAACTCCACGTTTGTTTAGTTCTCGGCCAGCTCTTATCAGCCACCACAATGGAACGCCCGAGCACACAATTCGATAAATACACCAAAATTTGGAGTGGACCAAGGCCGGCAAATTTCTTTGATGCGGATTGTTCGATTGGCAAAATACTGTTTGCTTTTATGAGAAACCACCCATCAAGTCTATGTCAGGTGTGTAATCTGAGTAATTTCTTTAGAAGCAGAGACAATCCTTAAATCCCTTGCAGATTTCCGACACGGAAGGCACTGCCTTGACCAATGGCGAGGCCATCACCTTTGCCATTCGCATAGCCCAGCACTTGAAGGCTCTGGGCCTGAAACAGGACGATGTGGTGGGGATTGCAGGTACAAATACCACATACCTGATGCCGGTGGTGCTGGGTTGTCTGCTAAACGGGACTCCCTTCCATGCGGTGAGTCCCTGGCATGATGAGGAGACCATGAAGCATCTATTTTCGATCACCCGGCCAAGGATAATATTCTGCGACGGCTTCGTCTACCAGAGATTAAGTATAATAGCCAGGATACTGAAAACGCATGTGTACACTCTCAAGGATCACCGACTTGGTATGCCCCGGGTAGAGGATCTGCTGGAGCCGACAAAAGCTGAATTGTATTATGTGTAAGATATTATTATTTTTCTTTTTTTTATTATTAATTATTAAATTGTTTGTTTAAACTAGTCCCTCGCCGCTACTGTTGGGTGGCGATCAAACAGTGGCCATTCTAAGTACTTCCGGAACCACGGGTCTACCCAAAGCAGTTTGCATTACTAACTCAGCATGTCTCTTTGATTTCGGGTAAGTTATTTATAGTTTTTTTCTCTGAAAACCGTTGGTAGTGTAGGAATTTTTGTTTATAAAAATCTCATTATAAAACTCTGTTGCTATTTTCACGTTTTGCTTATCAGTTACTTGTCAACATACCAAAACAAATCCAATTCAGCTTTTATAATTTCCACAAAAACAAATCACAAATATGATTTGTAAGTTATTTTTTATCAAAACTATGAGCTATTTTAAGAGCTTTTATTAAGACTTTATGTAAATTTTTATGGATCAACAATGTAGATTTAATTTATGAAACATTTATTTTCCAAGGGCCATTGATAGTCCATAGGGCCATGTGATAGTCATTAGCAACAATCTTCGTATGCATGGTTACAATGCAAAAATAGTATAATAATAATTTTCGTGGAGTAAATTACTCATTATTTTAAAGAAAATAACAATAAAATCATAAAATTTGAAATATTTATATAGTTTATTAAAATCTTAATTATCTTATAGATTTGTTACCGGTCAGGATGTACTGCTATCCTTCAGCACCATTGACTGGTCCTCCGGAATGTTCAACATGCTCTTCAGCTGCTGCCACGGCTCCACACGGATCATCACCGATCGAGCCTACACCCCGGAGTACATGCTCCAGCTGGTGGAGAAGTACAAGGTCACCTTGCTAACAGTGATTCCCCAGCAGGTGGCCTCCCTCCTGAAGGCGCCCACCCTCAGCAAACAACGTCTGGCTACAATCCGGTTCGTCAGCGTGGGTGGCGGCTCCTGCTACGTGGCCAATCTTCTGAAGATGCAGGAGTTCCTGGCCAATGGACAGATATCCTACGGCTATGCCCTGACCGAGTGCGGAGGTGTGGCTGCCAATATGGGCGTGTCTAAGCCCTCGTCGGTGGGCCGGATTGTGCCGGGAGTTCGTGTGAAAATCCTGGACGATGCCGGACGAAGTCTAGGCCATGGCGAAACCGGTGAGATCCTGGTGCACAATGGCAAGCAGTGGAACGGCTACTACGGTAATCCGAATGAATCAAAGCGCATTCAGGACTACCAGGGCTGGTTCCACACCGGTGACATGGGCTACTTTGATGACGAGAACTACCTGCACATTGTGGAGCGGAAGCGGGACCTCCTCCGCTTTCACGGTGCCCAGTACTGTCCCCACGAACTGGAGCAGGTCATCGCCGAGCTGCCGGACGTGATCGAGGCCTGTGTGTTCGGCCTCTGGAACGAAGTGGATGGCGATCCAGCGGCAGCAGCAGTCGTCAAAGTTCCGGGCAGCCGTCTCACCGAAATGGACATAGTGGAGTATGTGGCTAAGCGGCTGGTGGTCACCCACAAGCAGCTCCATTGCGGCGTCTTCTTCCTGCCGGAGCTGCCAAAAACTGGCAGCGGCAAAGTTCTGCGGCAGCAGGCACGCGATCAGGCTCTGGGCAAAAAATGGGCCGACTACGGCAACGGACACTAATCTTTTCGATAGACTTAATTCTGTTAGGCTTAAAGACAATTAGTTATTACCAGGGGACGGATGACTCATCCATTGAGTGTTCAAGTGCCGCCGAAAAATAAAAGCAACAATTTGAAATGAAATATAAACCCCAAAACATAGACAGACGAAATTGTGTTGTCGATTCGCCGGGGCCATTGCTTGATATCGTCGGCTTATCTCCTGATAATTGCATTCCAGGTGCGATAGGTGCGTACGTTGGGTGCTCATTGATCACCGGACCTGGGGGGTTGGTGCGGCAGTGTATGTGGCAAACTGGTAAGCTTTTAGCCCTACGCAACCAGCCGCAAGTGGCATAACTTTCAAGGTAACGTCACGGTTAGAGGTCAGCAGGCCTTAGAAAACATTGATACCGATAAGAGCTAATAATGAACATTGTGTTTAAAAATTTTACAAGATTTTAAAGTTGATTAAACGAGGGAGTAGAAAATCATTAAGAAAAAATATAATTTCGAACCACATTTTTTTTATTAAATTATTATTGCCATTTTCCTATTTGTTTTAAAAATATTTATAAAACTTGTGTCATATAAATTCTTTTACAATCTTTGATATTCGCATTCAAGATGTTACATTGTTTACAATAAAAATACATATTGTTTATATTTATTATGAATAATTTATGGCTATTATTTGACTGAATCACTAGAAATGATATATCATATTTATATTTATTTAAATTCCTCGGATTATAATAAGGGGTAGACAGCTTTTGTGGCAATGCCGCACTGGTTTCCAGCATTGCGACGCATCCTGATGTATCCCTTTTCGCCCCACTTGTCCCCCCAGGAGTTCTTAACTAGCCAGTAGTCTAACCCATTTTCTGATCCATAGCCAACGACTAGAGCAGCATGATTTAAATGGGTATCACTGCAGAGAGGTTCGTCGTAAATGCCGCCGTTGTAGTAGTGGAATGAGCCACTGGAGGAATCCAGGGCCACGGCGATGGGTCCGACGGTGGCCACCGCTATGGCCAGTTGGGTCTCGTTTCCCATTGCCAACTGTACAAACCCGGAGTCGGTTGCTCCAAAAGTAACATTATCTAAGCGGCACCGCTTTTGTGTGGCCTCATAGGAATACGAACTTTCAGTGGCGATGCCTCCTTCCGTTTTAATATCCAGAAAGGCGCGAGAGGCCAATCCGCTTTCGCAACCATTGTTGGACACGGAGCAGTCCAACAGATCCTGTTCGGAGAGTGATATCAAGTTTGCAGTGTGGCGGAAAAGCTGACCTTCAAGGGCTCCTGTTGCCGCAAAGGCCCAACAACTGTCACACTGTTTTTGGTTCTTTACGGGTGTCACGGCTCCCAGTCTGCGCCAGTCAATTATTTTTGGCAGAGCCACGCCCAATGGCGGAAGGAATTTAGATCCCTCGACACTGAAGAAAATTGGTTATATTTCCACCTTGGGAAATGGTACGAAAAAGCAATCTTACCTTTCACCGTTCTGATCGTTTCCATTTCTCATCTCGTTAAATTCATGACGCAGTAAGTCGGCGTATTCATTTAAAGCCACGTTAAAGCTCACTTCACCTCTATCCCATTTTTTGTTGTGCTCGGCAATGAACTGCTTATTTTCTTTAAAAATCTCGAAACGAATCGCCTCCTCGGTCTCGTCCAGGTATTCCTTGTTGTTAATCAGCTTGAAAAGGCTCCAATCGAGAATGTCCTTGTCGAAATGCATGGCCTGAGAAACCGCCAGCAGGACGAGACTATAAATCACGAATAGCTTAATCATTTCTAAAAGGGTTTTTAACTGTTTTTAGGGTAAGCTTTATGTGCGTTCTCGAAGACTGTTCACAGCTTAATAACATTTAGAGTGCCTTTTCAAAATCAAGTAAGCTAAAAAGTTTGATATATATTTTAAAAACATAAATATTCATAAAGAGTCATCCAAACCGACCAAACCGATTTCCAAACAAGATGACTGAATATTGCTGATAAAAGTATGAGCATAGCTCTCCACAAAACAAACAGTTCAGTAAACTTTTAGTTATTTGCCCTTTGAACTTCAATTTTTTTAACTATCTAGCATTAGTGTTAGTCCTCCAGAATAGGCCCAATGCCAAATAATATAAAAGTCTAGTTCTAGGATTAAAAAATAATCAATAAAGAATGTATGGGGATTATCTAAAGAACGGCCAACAGCTGAAGTGTTCTAGCGGCCCTTGCAACGACATATGGAGTACTTAGAGCTCCGCATTCCAGTTGAGAAAACCCTTTGCTTAGGGGGCGCACAGAACAACATTATTAGTTGATTGACAGCAAAGCAAAGTTGCACTTTGTACGTGATCTTGTCAGCATTGCAACTGGATACTTTGCCCCATCCCGACTCATTGGAATACAAAAATTGATTGACATGCCTCCCCGAGTGAGTCACAATCGATGCTTGGGTGCACTCCCGAAATAAACTGCAACAATTAAGAGCCACTTAGGGCTGGGGAATTAATTTGGTTGGGATCACTGATAATGATCTCACCAAGCGGATTGTCAGATCCAAGAGATCTTCGTTCCCTTCGTTGTTTTCAATGTCAAGTTCAAGAAATACGATCCTTGCCGCACATTTTCGGGGGCATTTGTGTTTACGATGCATCCGACGACCGGCTTGGGCACTTAAAACCTGCTCAAATATGCAGGAAGTGCCAGGCGTGGCCAACTCCATTGGCCTCGGATGCCGGTGGGTTGCAGTGGGGCAGCTTTTCAGAGACGCCTGGCGCCCATTCAATCCGATCTGAGCCAGCCCAATCCGATCCGATCTTGGTGAGTTGGCAGCCGGCGATTCTAATTGTCATGCAAATACCAATTATCATTTGTCAGTAACGCCGCTAATAATAATATGCCCCGGTGTAATTAAATGCCTACGCTCTTTATGCGATTGCATGAATGGTTTCTGATCGCAGATCTGTGATCGCGAATCTGCGATCTAATCTCCTTGCTGATTAATTCATTAGCAACTGTCGACCAGTTTGTCAGTTACATGGCAATGACTGCTGCCCGCCGCCATTCCAGCGATTAATTGGCGTTATTAATCGTGTAGAAAATGTTGAGATTGTTTGTGCTAAGAACTAATTTATGTCTCCCCATTGCATGGATGGAGGAATTGTTTAATTACTTTTACCATTTGCATATGTCAAAGCAAAAGGTTCCCCTTCACTTGAAAGTGGAATCCATCCAGCTGTTGGTACACGCAAAAAGAAACTCCTTATTCCTAACAAAAATTCTCCTATTAAGTCATCTAATGCAGACTCAGATTATTGGAATTCATATGGAAGGGCCAGTGAAGCATCTTGCTTGAGTAAGCGTCCTATATTAGGGCCTGGGGTTGCTTTAAAAATACCCATTATTTAGAATAGCTACACAAATTTGTACTTTTATGATACTTGCTTAAACTAAAGACTAAAATCCAAACCTTCAGAGTAAAAGGCTTTAAAGAATGGCCATATTTGCTTCAAATATAACCACATTTGGAAGTAAGCAATACAATTTATTATTATCGTACTATTTAGTTTAATTTTATAATGATCATACCCTCTGCTACCCTTTGGAGAACAAGGGCACAACAACTTTGACACATTGCCTTCGACATGGGGAGCTGGGAACAGAATTTATGGCGCTTAAATTGCAGTCATGCGCATGAGCGGCAACGGCTAACAAGATCAGTGCCACCCCCCCTTCACGCGCCGTGGATCCCCGCCACTGTTAACCCCTTAGTTGCGGCTTAGAGCGGATGTTTGGTGTCAAAACACAAGCCGTCCGATGCCGATGCATTTTCCCTGGAATTCTATACCGGACCTGATTGCCCGCGTGCCCGGTTGCCGGGGTACCACCGGGTCCTTGGCCGTAATTTATGTAAGCGATGTGTTCGCCAGTGAAAACAAGGAGAACGAACGATGGATCGATGATCGTAAAAATAGTCCAAGAAAGCAGCCCCATGTTCTTCATGTTGCTTTTATCAATTTGTGTTAAGTTCGCTTCTAAGCACGAAGCAGGCATAGATCATAAAATGGCACCCCCAGGCATCCGACGGATGGGATCGGATCGGTGATCGGGTTTGGTTTGGATCGGATGGGATGGGATGGGATCGGATTGGATTGGGGGGAAATTTACATAATTACCGCTGGCGGTGCTTTGGTGAGAGCCGCCCGAACGTGTCAAAATGAAAAGTGTTGCATGATTAGCGAGTAAATTACGCTGCCGAGGCATAAATCTATCCCGAGTCTGAAGACTGCTGCCGCCGAAGATAATCAAATAAATGTGGCGATTAATAAAAGATGAAGATGCAACTGCTAAGGCCCGGGCTGACGGAGATGGAAGCCAGAAGGGGGAAGTCGAACCAGAGAGAACTGATGCTAGGGGTCTAGGTCCGATCGAGACCCAGCTGGCCAGGATCGACTGGCGCCCCAAGCGTGCGAATTTTTCACCGCCCGTTGTGGGAGGTGTGAAGAACGGTCGCTGCAGTTCTGTATCTTTTTTTTTGTGGGCCAGAGTCGTCTCGAGAAACTGGCAACATGTTGCCTACGGCTGGCGGCTCGACATGACACATTGTTGTTCGCGTAGCATATAGTAAGTTGGTCAACAAGCGATGATGTTGAGATGAGGCCGGTTGCGGATGATGATCGAGGTGATGACCAAGCCTGCAGCTAACGCAGATGTGTGTAACCGGCTGTCTTCTGCACTGAGAGATATGAGGTTTATATATTTTATTGGAAGCCTATATATTGTTTTCTTTAAGTCATTTTAAGATGTGTTAAGATCAAGGAGACCTTACCCCTAAAATGATTGGCTTACCCATCAAGTCTCGACTTTTTCTTAACATTTTTATTAAATTATAATGCAGTTTTTATTATTTATTAAGAACTTTTTGAAGTATTCTCTGTGCTATTCATATGGCAGATCCCAGCGATAGATACGCTTCCTTAACACGTCTTTGGGTTTGAGGAGCCAGAGGGGCCAAAAGTGCCTGTCGCTGGAGTTGTTAAGAGCAAAGTGTTGTTAGCCGGGCCCGGCTGCGGCTGCAGTTATGTGTTTTTCACTTGTTGGCCAGTTGTTGCGTTCTACCGGTGGTTTCATATTACCGTTGTCCAGCCCGAGACCCGGTCAAGGTCTCTCCTTGGCTCTGCCAAGTGTCTCCGAGATTTCCAAGAGTGAAGATCGTAGGAATCAAGAACCCAGCATTCAGCATTCAGAATCCCAAACCCAGAACCAAGAACCGACTTTCATTGAGCAGTGGCGGCGACAACGGCGACGGGTTTGCATTGCATATTGCATTCCGATTCATCGAATCGAATCGAGTCGAGTGGAGTGGAGTAGTGCCTGCATTTCCTGTCGCATGCGCCACATAAATTAGTTTTCCATGTTCACTTGTCACTTGTATCGCCATTGGCCAGTTGAACCCGTTTGCCCAGGCCGTTGCGGGTGTCCATTCCACTTAGAATCCGCATCCGACCGATTGCCCTTATCAGTTGGTCGTCCCCAAGTGGTCCTCCTCTTTGCAATCAATTTTGGCAAAGAGCCACCTAATTGCTTTTGCTATTTATTTCAACGACCGCTGCACGCACCACCCATTCGATTTCCTTATGCAGAGGTCATATCAGAAATATCTGAAAAGGGAAACTTGGTTCCAACTAGCTCAAGTTTAAGCTCCAAATACCCATGAAATTATCACCACCAGCGTACGCTAAACACTTTTACTCGCTTATCACAGTGGCCATAAATTTGGGGCTCTGTCAACGAATTCCTGAATTCTTCTTCCCGCATGAAAATTATGCAAATTAGGTAAGCGTTGAGTGGAAAATGTTGGGTCCACTGGTAGGCCCGGTCAGGCCCGAATTCGAATTGAGTTTTCTGCCGCCAGACATTCAAGCGTTTCCGTAGTGTAGCGGTTATCACGTGTGCTTCACACGCACAAGGTCCCCGGTTCGAACCCGGGCGGGAACAATTCGATTGTTTTTTTGCTTCTTAAATACTTTTATTTTGCCTGCAATTCATTTTTATTGATCGCTGTGACACAGTGGATGCATCTCACCTGATTGTTTCATCGTTGATTCAAATGTAATTGCATTTTCTCACAGCCACCTATTAATATCGATTTAATGAGCCTGGTTTTACGATTATTCAAGGTGTGTTGTATTTATAAACATGCCGACCCTCAGCACGCACTGAATTTCAACTGTTTAACGGCTTGGCATCCAGGCATGACTCCAGGTCGAGGTATTTTTACGACTTTAATTTGTTGCAGTCTGTGCCAAGTGCCACCCAAGGTGAAAGGTTGTCTGGAAATAAGATGAAATCCTATTAAAGAAAGTGCTGTTATTGTTTAAATATGTGGCACCCTGAGGACTTTATATTATGCGATGACAGACGGGGCATGGATTGTGTTGAACTTGGCAAAGAATGTAGAGGTCTGAATACATATGGTCCGTTTTTGATAGTTTTGTGTCCTTGAATAATAAGATACTCAAACCAATGTAGTTTTAAACTAATTTCACATGTTTGAATTAACCTTTTTTTCGATTTTTTATCCGTTTTTAATCCTGGACTAGATATGTGCCTTTTGGACAGCAGAAAAATGTAGGTTTCCGTAGTGTAGTGGTTATCACGTGTGCTTCACACGCACAAGGTCCCCGGTTCGAACCCGGGCGGAAACAATTTTGAAAGTTTTTATTTTTAATTATTTTTTATACATTATTTAACTAAAAATATTTTATATTTTTTATATTATATTTTCTCAACACATTAAAACTTTAGCTATTCCAGCTTAGTTTAATAAAATTTAATATTAGTTGAAAAGTATTGGAAAGAAACTGTTAAACTTAATTAATATTAACTGTAATTAAGGCCTTAAATACTACACAGTAATAGTTTTAGATTAACTTAAATATTTGATAAAATAATGCTGTATTTAAATTTTATATAAAAAGCTTATGCTGAAAGCTTTCTCTCAGATTTTTTCAAGGGCCTAACCAGCCAACAATTAGAGAGATATTCATATACCAACTACGACACTCGTTTCCCAACAGGGGATGTAGCTCAGATGGTAGAGCGCTCGCTTAGCATGTGAGAGGTACGGGGATCGATACCCCGCATCTCCAGGTTAAATTTTATTTTGCTTCCTTAATTTCTTGTCATAACTAAATTTCTTTTTATTTTTATTGGGGAGCACATTTGCATAAATGACTTACCCATAGTCTGGCACTTTGATGGACATACTCTCCCATCGCAGGCGACATTTGCGTCCAATTATTTAGTAAATAGAATATCATGCCGGTTACAACTCCATTTCACACGCTTTTCCAAGCGACTGGCCGAACCGGCTTGTTATGCAATCAAGTTGTGACTTTGGCTCTTTAGCCCGTCTCCGTTTCCATTTCCCGGCAGTGCGCCCATTGCGGAAAACGCCTGGGAGGGGTGGGTAGGTGGCTGAGGAGTGGTCACCGCCCGGCGAACATCGCAGCTAATCCAATTAAGCATATTCATCATATTCACGCAATGCAGGCCGTGAACTAGAAAAGCCACTAAACCAGACTCAGTCAGAGGGTGGCTGGGTATGGGAGATCTGAGAACGGGTATCGCGAAGATTCTGACATTTCCGTCATGTCCGAATGATTGAAATCTGTTTAATTGAATTTAACTCTGGAATGCGTACTGTTTATTTTCACTTGACACCAAGCTGCATAGTGATGTACGAAACTTTCTTTTCCATTTATAGGATTTTATAAAATAGTTACCGATTTCAGGGATTAGTTTTTAGTTATTCCAATACAAACTTTATTTTATCCTAAGAGTTTAAGAACTCCCTCAAAATTACTCAACTGACAGTATTTGAAAAAGTATCTCATTTGTGCTTTTTCATTCCCATCCCAAATAAGATGGCAATAAATTTTCAATTATAACTACACATACAAGTACAAATCCATTACCAACAAGTGGGTGTTTTATATCAAATCGATCTAATCTATTTATTTTCCTGCACCAAAATTGGCCATGACGGTGCCAGTGGCAATGGCATTGGGAAGGTGCAATTGATTGGACTGCGGGGCAAGCCCACATTAAACTGGATCGGTGTGAATCAGCCTGTGCTCCGGGGGGTGTATTCTCCATACGTCACGTAGACCGCAATCTTGTTAGGTGCAAGCCTCAAAAATCAAATGTCATGTGCATATATCAGCCAAAAAATTAAAAAAAAAATCGAATCAAATAAACGAGAAACGAAATCGATGAGAAAGGTATTTCAACAAAAAAAAGAGACTGCCATAAATATACATACATAAAGTTTATAAACTTGTTAACTTAATATTTATTTTTTCTATGAGAAGTTTTGAAAATATTCTGCTTTTAAAACTTAAATAAACAAATTTGTCAACAAATCAAGCAAAATTAGTCATAACTTTTAATACACCTGTACTTTCTTCGGAGAAATTTTAGCTAATCTCAATAATCTAATTAAAAATCTTAACTGGAAAATCCTCTAATATAATGCAATCTTAGTTACGCGGGCATATTCCAAATGGAAATTAAATATAGCGCCAATGACGGCAAAACCCCAGAGGTAAACAAGAGCAACGTTGTGACAAAGCTCAGAGCCATACACTCTTTTTTTGTTAATCAGCCGGCAATTTACGCTCCCAGCCAACCAGATGGCTTGATAGCAGGTTGTATGTTTGAGTAGACGGGAGGCGAAGGGCAGAGGAGTAGAAGCGGTAAGCAGCCGGTGGAGAGAGGGGGCGTGGCAGCGGTATGACGATTGTGAACATTGGCGGAGCGCCTGATAAAAACGGCACACTGCCCGGAAATGCGCGTGCGACACACGTCGGATGGTGCCGATGGCTACGTCACCATTATCATTTATGCTTACGCCGGCATAAAGATCGGGAGCGGGATCGGGTGCCGGTCGTCGAGCGCTCCATTTAATGTTGGTTGCCAAGAGGGCTGCTCGGATTGTCGGGCGCTCCGTCGCAGCGGTGTCTCCTCTTTTTATATGTGATTGGTTCGGGTGGGCGCGGGGTGCCCCGTTTTTTTTTTATTGTTCAGTTCTACAAAGTTTATTTGTTTTTTTTTTGGGGCTGCTGTGGGGGCTGGACGGACTGGCCTCGTGTTTCGCCTATTCATGCGAAAAATCAGCAGCGTCTGAATGAACGCTGGCGAATGTGGGAACATGAGGCCAGCCAGCGGACGGCGAGCAGCAATTTCGCCATTTCAAGGCCTACGTGACTTGTCTCACACAGGGAAATCGGAACGGTTTGAACTGGGGAACTGGGGATAGCTGTTGCGGTTCCGACAGACCTTTTGGTTTCGGACGATTCGGATCGGATGGGGTCTGTGGGAGCAGGAGTCTCATCAACGTCGTAATCCGAGTGCACTTGATTAGCTTTTGTTCTAATGCAACTTCAAACAGTCCAACTTCTATGGCTCGATAAGGCCACAGAGTAAAGACCCCTAGAACGTCATTTTGTTACCCCTAAAAATTGATAGTAAATTTTTAAATATTTTTGGCTTAATTAAGGTACAAACTGTTCATTATAAAAACTGTATTATTTTTAATGTGGTATATATCCATCTAAAGGAGGTTAGACTGTATTGGATGATCTCCGATCTACGGTTCCCCTAACTTCTCAGTTCCGACCACATGATCTTTACGTTTTCGGCACGTGCTAGAAAAGGTCTTTGACTGTAGTCAGCTGATATGAAAATTACGAATACGAGAGAGGTGCTACTTGCTCTCCGGGACCGAGTAATCAGTATTTGCCACTATCTGCTCACCTGTTCTCGGGGAAACCAAAATGCTTTGAATAATGGTGACAGAGGGCTTTAATCAGCATAATAAAAAAAACCCCCCTTCGATGGAAAAATATGAAAAATATGTGTTGAATTAGTTTTTAAAAATATTTCAATTTATTTACAACTTTTTCTGCTTATTATCTCGTTTCAGTCTTAAATTATAAATACGAGAACTATTGATTTAAATCTATTTAGTTGGTAGTTTAGAAGGTAGAACTCAGGAACTTTAGCTTTGTTGTGTGGATCGGTGGTTCAATGTTACTCGGTGTTTAATCGGATCTCGTCACAGGATTACTCGCATCTGGAGCAAAGCCAATGGGATGAGCAAGAGAAGGCTGCAAAGGTCACAGAAATATTTAGAGGGGGTTTCGGGGTTCAATCTTACAAACATGGAGAAGATATTGGAACTGCATTCATAAAAAAACCATGCCAACAAAATAAAATGAGTGAATGTGTAGAGTAAATAATTTAATTTTAAGGTGGTGTATAGGTGGATCAATACTATATCGTGTTTAATAGTAAGATTCCTTCACAGGATCAGCAATGCCGCAGATCAGGACCTTGCAGAATAATGGTCTGAAGGCTCTTATGGAAAGATATATTCTTTCAAGACTGCAATTCAAAAAAAACCATGCCAAACAACAAATAAGTGAATATTTTTATCATAATTCAAGAAACGTGCAAAATGATTTTAAATAAAAAAAAACTATTCCCATGCGAACAATCCCAGTAAACTTTCATCAGGATCTACTCCTCTTACCATATAAACTAAAGAACTTTGATTTGATATTAATATATTTTTAATTTTATTTTTTAGTTTAGTAGCTTTCGCTTTTTATCATGCTCTTCTTATTTATCATTTACTCACATATCTGGAAATTGTTTGATTTATGCATTAAGTTATAACAGAATTTTGTTAGTCTAGGGCCTATCAGCTTAATCCTAGTTTATAATAAATATTTTCAAATAAATAAATAACTCAATTATACAAGTTACAAACTATAATTTCACGCTCGTCTCTTGTAGTTAAAATAAATTAAGATTACTTGTTAGTTTATTAAGTAAATGTAAATTAAAATACAATCTTGTGATTTGTGTGTTTGCATTGTTTATTCTTTTTTTTATGTATTTCTAATTTTTATTTTATTTCGCTTTGTCGCTGACTTTATTGATTCGTCAACAAAGGATCTTAAGGATTGCCTCAATTTAATATTGATATACAGAGCTTAGACTACGCACTGAGAGGCAGCGAGGTTCGACAATGCAGAGACAAAAATGTATCTTACGACTAAACCGTGTATCTATGTACAAATGGATTCGACTTCGCTTCGTTTACAATTTGGGGATAGCCCTTTGCAAGTTTTCATCTGGTTTTTCGTATGGTGTGGTCGTGTATTTTTGAGTATTTTCATCGTCAATCGAACGTGAAAGTTCCGCCACAGAGACTCAAGTATTTCAGTAGACTCTTTTTTAGATCATTCGTGTTGCGTAAGGTTATGGCTTTGATTTTACATAATCATAAATATTTGATTTGATGAGCGTGTTATATATAATAATATACATTTTGATGCTGACTACACTCCATAGGGGGGTTCGCTTGAGAGGTTCTTATAAAATACTCGAGACTCCGTCGTAATACATTTGATATTCATCGGGTTTTGAGGGGATGGATTCGCCGGGGGAACAACAGTCCGCTGTATCAAAAATACTTTATTGAACCACAGTCTTGGGTTTGGGATAGGATGGTATATCATTATGTACACTCTGACAGAGATGTGATGTTGTGCTGGATGTGCAGTGTAATGAGGTTTGACTGTTTTGGTGTGTGTCTGATCGTGTTGTGGATGTACAATTTCGAAACTTGCAATTACAATATCTTTTGCATACTCAAGCCACATTTTTACAGCGTTTCTTATTTTTTTCTCCGATCTTTCTCTTTTCCACTGAATTAAAATGTATTTTCTACACATTGTACGTTTTGGCTAAGATGAATTGAACAAATTTCTAGAACTACTTAAAGGTAATTTTGAAAAATTCTCCATAACGCAAATTATAAATAACCAAACAAAAAATAAACCAAAAAGTACAAATGTGCCAATTCTAAGTAAATTTAGAAAATGTTTAAAGAAGATCAATGTTTCAGTTAAAGCCAAAATAATAAAAATTAAATTTAGAAATGTATTAAACTTCCAAACCGTAAAACTAAGAAACGTTATTGCCAATAGGTAACAAGTTAATAAAAAATATTGTTGCTTTAATAATTTAGATAAAATGTAGAAAAAGTCGATTTAATTTTATCAAAGTTTGGTGAGAAATGGAGAGTTAGCTTAGGTATGTTAAGTTTTAATTTAATTTTTTTTGTGGGAAACTCACAAATCGTAGAGCGAATCGTCGCCAGCCGCACCACTGCGTCCTTGGGCCTCGGAGCTGACATCCTCGTAGCTGGCATCCTCCAGGGATTCGGCCTCCTCATCCACGTCGCCGGTATCCTGGTCTTGATCTTGATCCTGATCTGGATCCTCCTCACTGCTGCTCATGCGCACATTGCGCTCCACCCGATCGCTGGTCTCGCTCAGGCTCAGGGCAGGAAGGGGAGAACTGCTCTCCCAGCGGCTTTCCGGAGTGGCCAAGCTACTGGCCATGGTGGTGGAGGTGGTGCTGCTCTGCTCCATTTTGCGTTGCCTCCGCTTGGAGCTCTTGCTTCCATGATGACCTTGCTGGGGATTTGGCTGCTGGTGCTTTTTTGGACCGCCCTGGCGCTGCTTCCCCGCCTTTCCCTGCGCCTTCCTTTTACCGCCTCCTCCCAACTGCTTGGGCCGCTGCTGCTGGACACCCTTGGCCTCGGCCAAGTCGGCTCCCTGAATTTTTCTAGCACCATTTTTCTTGCCACAGTTGGGCGGTGGGGCGCCCTCAGCTGCCGCCTTTTTGCGCAGCTCCCTGCACTTCTGGGCCATGGGACCCAGTTTGCGGCAATGGTGCTGCTCCTCGTTCTCATTGGGCTTGCAAAGTCGCCTCTTTTTGTTCTTGTTGCCCCTGTTTTTGTGGTGGCCAGTGGGGCTACTGGAGTTACTGCTATTGGTGGTGCTACTGCTAATGCTACTGCTAATATGGCCGCTCACGCTTTGACTACTGTTACTAATACTAATCAGGCTGCCGGGTCTGAGCGCAGGCACAGGAACGTTTCTACTGCTAGTGAGACTACTACTACTTCTGCTACTACTGCTGCCGATTTTGCTACTGCTTCTGCTATTGCTGCCGCCCTTGCCACTGCCGCTGCCACTCTTGGGGTTACAAGTGTGCGGCGTCTTGAAACTGTCTGCATCGATCAGCTCGATCAGCGGCTTGCCCGTATCACAGAGTTGGCGCACGCCGTGCTTGACGCGATTCGCCCCGAAGTTCTTGGCAATCAGCTGCTCGACCCGCTCCTGGGCCACCGTCTCCGTGATCACATTGGTGTATATGCTCATCTTTTGCAGGGCCCTTCCGGGCGGTATCTGTGTCCGACGGAGTCCGCCCTGATTGTTCAGCGCCAAATAGTAAACGCGCAGCGAATTCGAGTTGTAAGTGGAGGTGTAGGTGTTGTAGTTCTGCAGACCCATGTTCTCGTTGAAGACACAGTCGTCCGTGAAGTCTTTCTGCAACAATTAAGGAAAGAGATAAAATTACAATATTAGACTTGACTATTAAGAGAAATCCATAGAAAAGACTAAGGTATCTACCGGTAGTAATAGCCAGTAGATGGAAAATAAATTGTATTCCCCTCAGAAACTGCCCAAAGGGTTGTCCTTAATGTTGGCTTCTTCAGAATACTATACCAATAAATTCCCCTCCGACATTAACCTTCTTCTTTGAATTCCTGTCTAGGAGCGGCGTCTGTTTCTTTTGTCTATCGATCGGAAAATCTGTTGGATAAATGCGCTCATTATCACAGGATGTGCTCCTATCGGTGTTGGCCATCATCGATAGAGGGCCCCCGACCTGGCCATTTCACTAACCATAAACATTTCTACTTTATGAACGCCTCATGACAGCCGAACAAAAGCCAGATGAAAGCCAGAAGAATTACCAAGCCGGGAATGAGAAATTATTTGTCTAGGAAACAAAAAAAATGTTAATCGAGAGCAGGGAAAGGATTTCTGTTTCATTTGGAAGGGAGGGACACACTGGCCTTTTGGATGCGCCGACTCCTAGACATCTGCAAATCAAATTCAATTAACAACACTGAATTAATTCACTTGTCAGGCAATTAAAATTGTTTCGTAAATAAAACGGCACACAGGCAATTCCCTGCCTGATTGTTTCCCCGGGGAAATGTCGACGCTTAAATTTAGAAATTAATCAAGCAACCGGCGAACCGAAATGAGCCATCAAATGGGTGAGGGCCAGGCCAATCCAGGCCGGGCCGGGCCGGGCCAGGCCAGAAGGCGAGTGAAAAATGTTGCCGCCGCGTCCGGAGGTCGGGACAAATTTTTTGACATATGTGACAACAATGTGGTCGGTGCTCGAGCCCCTCATCGAACCCCTCCCCCGACCTGGTAAGTCCCTTTTCGATCCTACCATATCTCACTCACTGGCAGACTCTTTTATGATACGTATTTCCAGGCATTTTCATTTATTTTTAGTTTTTAATGGCTTGCAAGTGAAAATTTGCAGACACCAAAGGGAAATGAAGTTGTACTTAGATAAGCCAACACACAACAAATAAAGAAAAGGGATCGGAAGGGGAACGGGGGTGTATCCAGAACCATTAGCTCTATCGGAGCATATCGAGTGGCGCCAGGTGAGAGTGGAAAGGGTCAACCTGTTGTTGGGTCCAGATTACGAGGAACACCTACAAACGGACACCACCACTTAGAGAACACGAGTTTGAAGTGATTTTCAAGGCCCGGGGTCACTGCGTGACCACTTATCGCCCCTGAACAGGACAATAACGATGATAATGATGCAACATATTCATTGGGCCCAGTCGGCATTAATTGACCAACCAAACCCCGCTCTGCGGGCGGTCCAGCTTTTTAATCCCCGCCTCCTCCGGCCGCTCCGTCGGAGAACAAATTATGCAAATTAATAAGCAAAACCGTAATATGAACATTTATGGCTACGACATTTTAATTGGACGAGACGGCGCTGACTCACTAGGGTTTCGGCCTGAAATTTATGAATTGGCAAACATTTCGGGTCTTTTTGTTCGGCCTGGTCAATTAGCCGGCCGAGAATCACCTGCCCCGTTGGTCACAAGATCGGACGGAAACATTTTGAATAATATGGTGAAATGCCATAAAATCAGTCACATGGCCGGATGTTATTAATAGAATCTAAGGGGAAGAATAAAAGCGCCCAGTAAATCAGAGACCATCACTTTGGACCAAGTTTAGAGAGCATTTTACTCGTACTTCTTAGAAACAAATAAATAAAAAAATATATAGATATACTTCCCGTGCCCCTCCTGCCGGGTGGAGTACAAAGGAGCACCGGACGTGCTGGCCGCCAAAATAAACAACAAGACGGACCAATATAACCGCCCACTTGACCAACTTAGAGATATGTTGGCTATGTTATAGGCCTGTCTCTCGGCTGCAGAATGCGGCGCCTTCAAAGGGCCGCCTACAAAGTTGCCGCTGGTGAAGCGCATCAATCAACACCGGCCAGGCCAAGTATCTGTATCTGCAAGATACACTCGCTCTGAACGCGAACACGCCTCGGCTGACAGAATTGGCACACTCGCTGCTATTTCGGATGCGAAAAGGTCAAAGTGCTTGGACGGCGACAGAGACAGCGGAAAGCAATGAAAACGACAACGAAAATGAAAATAAAAATGAAAATCAAATAAATTAAACTAAAAACTAATGCCGGACGGGCCGATGAAGCACTGCCGCAACAGTCACATGGCGCCAGCCCAAAAAAGGCATCCGACGGATGCACAATCGAGGATCTTGTCGATTCCCAAGCGCAGCGGGGTAATGTGTCACATCAATTTCGAGGGAGGGAGAGCCAGGAAGGGGACCAAGGACATGCGACCGACATCAGTTGGCACTTCATGACCTGACCGAGCCAAAGGACAGCGCATTCCAGAAAGAAAGGGACTCAAGGACTAAGGACCTACTACTGATCGTGTTGCTTTGTTTTTGTTCACATTTAATTTTATATTTATGATCTTTTCGGCTCTGTGGCTCTTCGGGTGCTCTTTCATTTATTTAAGTGTCCCTTTGGAGTTTTCGGTTTACCTCAATCTTTTAACAGGCCTTTGTTTGTTTTTGTTTTCACTAGAGGGGTGCCAACAATGGAACATATACGATTACACAAAAGCCGCTCTACATTTCCAATATAGTTACCCAGGAGAGCAGAAAATTGAAATGCGAAATCGATTTTGCGGTGCAGGAAATGAAGGGAAACATGTAAACATTTTTTGTCCATTTTTTGTGACAATCATGCGATCTCCTGAAAATGGGGTTGTCCCCTATAGGGTCCATAGTGATGGCTATATCTTCCTCAATTCTCATCCGATTCTCAAGCGGAGTACCTTAAACGATTTCTGTATCGATTCCCCACCATTCTGCATCAAAATCCTGAGACAAAATATTTTTTAGATTTTTTGTCCATTTTTCGGAATGCGATCCCTTGAAAATGGGGTTTTTCCCTATAGGGTCCACAGTGATGGCTATATCTTCCCCAATTCTATTCCGATTCTCAAGCGGAGTACCTTAAACGATTTCTAGATCGATTCGCCACCATTCTACATCAAAATCCTGAGACAAAATATTTTTTAGATTTTTTGTCCATTTTTCATGATGGGATCCCTCAAAATGGGGTTTTCCCCTGTAGGGTCTACAGTGATGGCTATATCTTCCCCAATTCTATTCCGATTCTCAAGCGGAGTACCTTAAACGATTTCTGGATCGATTCTCCACCATTCTGCATCAAAATCCTGAGACAAAATATTTTTTAGATTTTTTGTCCATTTTTCGGAATGCGATCCCTTGAAAATGGGGTTTTTCCCTATAGGGTCCACAGTGATGGCTATATCTTCCCCAATTCTATTCCGATTCTCAAGCGGAGTACCTTAAACGATTTCTAGATCGATTCGCCACCATTCTGCATCAAAATCCTGAGACAAAATATTTTTTAGATTTTTTGTCCATTTTTCATGATGGGATCCCTCAAAATGGGGTTTTCCCCTGTAGATCGATTCGCCACCATTCTACATCAAAATCCTGAGACAAAATATTTTTTAGATTTTTTGTCCATTTTTCATGGATTTTTCAGGGTTTTCCCCTGTAGGGTCTACAGTGATGGCTATATCTTCCCCAATTCTATTCCGATTCTCAAGCGGAGTACCTTAAACGATTTCTAGATCGATTCGCCACCATTCTGCATCAAAATCCTGAGACAAAATATTTTTTAGATTTTTTGTCCATTTTTCGGAATGCGATCCCTTGAAAATGGGGTTTTTCCCTATAGGGTCCACAGTGATGGCTATATCTTCCCCAATTCTATTCCGATTCTCAAGCGGACTATCTTAAACGATTTCTAGATCGATTCGCCACCATTCTGCATCAAAATCCTGAAACAAATTATTTTTTAGATTTTTTGTCCATTTTTCGTGATTCCAAGAAAGTTTTAATGTGGACCTATTATTTTGCCAAAAAGTTATGACATTTCCGATCAATCATTTACTTGGCAGCTATCGGATGTACTCTTAAGATATGTATATGTACAAAGGCCCTATATGGTCTGTATTAGCAGTTTCTATAGTATGTTGAAGCTGTTGTACTCACCGAACCATAGGCTATGCCACACGCGTCCATGCACAGATACAGGCAGGTTGCCACACTCTGGAGCTTGATGCGACCCACATCCACGGTGGAGCGCTGAAGAATCGCTGCAAATGAAACGGAGAGCGGAGAAAGCACATTAATTAATTATCAATCACAAGTTGGACGATTGTGGGAAGGAGACCTGATTATGGCCTGACCCAAAATCTGGGCCCAGGTGTCAGGATGTCAGGGTGCCGGCCGAGGCCCGACTCAAAAGTGGTTAATTACATATCCGACACCTGGTGAGCCGTCAGGCCCACGAGAGTCTGCCAACTGCCGGCAGTAATAAATGAAAGATAAAGTAAAATGCCTTTCCAGCTGGGAGTCCACTAATCATAGATTCCATTGCCGGGCAAATTTGTCAACTGTACTTAATCGAAGATGCCTTAAGTGGGATTATGGCAGATATTATTTATGGCGATCATCGAGCCGGGTTAATTGAAATTGCCGCCTTGCACTTGAGAATCGAACATTGAAAGAGGCAGACACCAAATTCAAGTTCAGCACCGTTTAAGGTCAAACCACTTGTGTGGTCCAACACTCTTCGGGAGTGGAGGCAGCAGGCCGTGCGAGATTCCGGGGGACCGCCTGCCTCCTTGTCAGTTGGCAGTTGGCTGGCCAAAGTGTGTCAGCACTTTGTTGTTGGCCGCAGTTCGTTCAATGAACTTTATGCACTTTGTGCGTAATAAACATCAATTTATAAATACACAGCTTGTTACGGGAGCAATTGGTAATTGAAATCTTAGCCAGCTGCTGGGCTGTGGCAAGAAAATAGCTGTTCTTCATAAAAAATTATTAGTAGAGTCGATTATGGCGGTCTAAGGAGCCATTGAGTGGCCACTTGAACGACGCCAAAAATGTAGTTTTTATGGCACGGATGATATGATATGAACAAGTAATTAAATCCCTAACCATTCGTTATTGATGTGTGTTTTTTATGGTGCAGCTGCAGGGATAAACCATTGACATATGGGAATGCTGAGGGTATGCCTTCGTACGATGCTGATTCTTGAATAATTACCTCAACTCGACAGAAACTGTGCCAGCTGATAAACAGACGCAAAAATATCATAAAATATTGCTGTCAATAGGTGGGCAATTTATGGCCCACATGCTTATCCCCTATATGCAGCTTTAATTGCAACTGCAACTGCAACTTCGGTTGCAACTTCAGCTAAGCCAAACAAAGGCAATGCATTTTTATTTACAGGGAATCTATTTTCCTCCACCTCTTCTTTTCAAATACGGAAATTGTTAAGTTTCGGCGAAAAGGAAAAAACATAAATAACACATGAGGCTCTGCTCCCATTCCTCCAAAGTTTAAAGACCAAATCGTTTGCGTTCCCTATACCCGATTTGATTTACAAGTTCTCCCTTCCACCAAAAATTTCTTCCAGCTCTATGATTAAATGCTCCATTTCTTTTTTGAGTGTTTGGCAATTTCGGACATTCCTTTGCTCTGCCTCCCAACTCTTTTAAAAAAACAAATACTAACATAACGAAAAATAAAAGAAATCTAAACAAATGACATGCTAAGAGCGCCAGTTCATTTGTTAAAATCGAAGAGGCCAGGGGTCCTCCTCCCACTGGAGTGACAGGGGACAAGGTCTGGGGGAGGCCGGCGGCCCAGTGACAGCCTTTCACTTTGAATGCCATGTGGTGTTGCATTTCACTTGCGTCGTGTTTGGCGTGGTGTGACTTCTTTTCTTCGGGGCTCATTTAAAAAACGATTTGTTTTGCTCGAGTTAACAAAAGTAATTTTTCTTATTTTTTATCTTTCCGTATGTGTGCCTTTGTGTGCAGTCGGACAGCGACAACTTTTAGCGTATTAAATTGTTAAAAAGAATAATTTAGATATATGTATGGATGTGTGGTTTATTCTTGTGGGAAAGTTCCTCTCTTTCACCCGATGCTAGTCGGTTCTAATTTTAGGTCGGAGAACATAATAAAACCAATGAGCACGCTAGAGGGTTGATAGGCAACGGAATGTTCTCTGCTTGTGGTAGAACTTTGTCGCTGGGCACAGCATGTGGCGCCGTGGCTTAGTTGGTTAAAGCGCCTGTCTAGTAAACAGGAGATCGTGAGTTCGAATCTCGCCGGGGCCTATGTTTCGATTGTTGAAGCATTTACTTTTTTTATTTTATTCTATTTATTTTATATTATTATTTTTTATTTATTATTTTTTATTATTTTTATAGTTATGAATGTAAATTATTATTCTATTTCTTAATCAAATAACTTTTAATAAAGAATAGTACCTTTTAATATACTATACTATGAACATGCATACTATGTATACAATATGTACTATACGAACCATTAAGCTTTAAAAACTATAACTATTTCCTATTTGTACTTTTATTAATAAGCTTTTAGAAAAAATTCCACAATGAAGGAAACATTTATTTCGAATGAAATTTCCTTTGAATGTCTGATAAGATTGCCAGTAATATTCACAGACAATCTTTCCCATTTTTGTCGGTTTATTATTATGTGGTTATTACAGTCGGCAATAATAACAATACAAAACCCGACTGAGGTGTGAAATAAGTGCATAATGATAATCAAATGATCTTTTATTGATCAATCAACGGGCCGTGTGGAGTTCAATCAAGCATGGAGATCAGTTCATTGAACCGGCCAGTCGTGTGGGTAAATCCAAAGTTCGAACTTGGAAATTAAATACCGTCGTATATCCAAATTCCTGGCACGCTTCTGGGCTGCTTTAAATTACCCAAATATTAAGCACGTAGTGAGCTGGGGGTGGAGGGCTGGAGGTGGTGGCATCCAGAAACAACAATAATAAAATCGGCTCCAATGGCTGTCACGCTCTGACAATAATTAAAATGTCAAAAAATATGAAGTGTTCGGGTGAGTTATGTTGGGACGGCTGGGTTCTTGATCACCTTATCCTTCGATGGATCGATGATATTCCCCGATAACCGACGCATTTTATGCAAATGAGACCTTAATTTTGTGAAAGACAACCAGCCGAAATTTATGAGCAGGCTTTCAAGGAAATTTGAAGTTGACAAAAAATGATATAGCCGTGGTTAGTTAAACAAATCCATTCATACATATATGTATGGAATGGCTTTTTATTATATTTTTAATTATGCTTACAAAAAAGAAGTGTGACGTTTTGGCGTGACATTTTATGAAAATTTACGATCACTTTTGTGGTTATTTAACATAATATGGTATGCCAGCCATCAATGATCATAAAAAATATCTTTGGGAATATCTGGTCGAGGCATTATCCGCTTTGTTTGGACCTCCAACCCCCAGCCCTCAACACACTACTGTGCCACGCCGTCTTTTGTGGCCTTTTGTTGCTCGATCCGACTAATTTATGATCGTGGGCAGCGTATTTTGACAATTTGATTTGAATTGGAGGCGAGCATATCAATCAATGGAGACTCCGTTTCATTACACATGCATGTCTCTGAGTCTGTCCCCCGATCCAGATGACAATGAAGAGTTAACAGTTAATAGACAGCGCCTCTATTAAAGCCCAATTAGTGGCAGTTTATTGAGTTGTCGTTTGGCCGGGCCATAAATCTTTACCACGAAGCTGCGCCATGCCACTGCCGCTGCCACTTCCACTTGCCACTTCCCACCGCCTTCTGGCTGCAATTCCTGCTTAGATAAACGGCGATAAATCAAACCGTGGGCGGTATGATAAGCCGATCTATTTAGCATTTGCAGGTGATTACTTTTTTTATTAAGAAAACCAAAAGCAGCTTACATAAACTGTGTGTGTGAATGGCTGAGAGTGTTTGCTGGGAAAACAGGGCCAGTTCTCACCCTAAATCTTTGGTATTTCATGCTTGGATGGAGAAATTGCAATCCGTATCTATTCCAGTATTCAGTATTCGAAATTCGCATCTCATATTAGCACCCATCGACAAACAATCGTTTGAGTGCCAAATTCAATTCACAGTTGGCTAAACCTCGCACCCTACGCCCCGTTCCTTTGTTTGGTCGGCAATCGAAATGCATTTTTTGGCAGTGTTGAGGGGAGTGGAAGGATATCCTGCAACCAAATACCTTATTGGCCAATTTCCGATAAAAGCAAATGCGCAAAAATATAAATTACAATCGTCTTGACAGACGGGATTCCCGCCAAGGGTGGTTTCCCAAAAAAAAAAGGAACAAAAAAAGAACGCCCACCGAAATGGCTGCATATGGCAAATGATAATGCGAAATGTTGCAATCAGTACCTCCGGAATGGTTAATCTAAATGGAAAATATTCTAATATCTGCTGGATGAGATCTATACGCATTGATGGGATTTGTCACGACCACTTTGGACTTTGGAATTCCTTTGATTGGGCATTTCACATTTGTGAAGATTCTGGCTTTCTCCCCGAGATAAATTAAAGTTATCAACGCTACCGTTTGTGGTCTTAGGGGGGATATCTCGGGGCGTCCATCTGGGCCCAATTCATTAATGAAAAATGAATGCGGCTATTGAGAATGCCTTCATTTGATTAAATTAGACTAATAACGTGTAAAGTATGGGCAGTACCCCATCGAAAAGCATTGTCTAATCGAGTGGCTTGGCCCACCAAAGGAGAACCCCGAACCGAACAAAAGCCGATTAGGTAAAAGTTTTCCAGTGAAAGTTTACCGCATTTAAATAACACCAGATCCAATGGCCTGCCAGCTCGTTCTTACAAATTAATACAACCCGAGGGAGAAAAACAAACGAATGAAAATTATGTAAAAAATTACGAGCGGAAAAAAGCTGTAAAATTTAAAAACAAACATATGTAAAATATGTCCAAAAATTATGTTTTGAAAAATATCTTAAGAGAGATGTTAAAAACTGTAAAATGTTTTGCATCAAAGAAAACACAGCCACGCCCCCAAGTCGGCCTTCGAGTGCGTGACCAGTGACAGGCCAATTTCGGAGGCGCCCGCAGAGATCTCTGTGCCCCAGCTTCGGCTTTTTTTTGTGTTTTCCGCATTTTCTAGCCGCGGCTTTTTCTTGTCCACTAAACAACCAGTTGGAGTGGAAATGAAATATGTAGATGAGTCTTTAATTAATTTGAGACACGAC